ATATAACGAGAGTATATATCAATGCTAGTATATATCTTAAACCTAAACGGAAGTAGTTTATTATATATATCGAGTAACTATATAAAGTTTAGACCTAGCATAGTCTAACCTTTCCGCTGGTATCGGATCTCTTTTAGTTAGTTTATAACTTCCTTAGGAAAAACTATACGATATGCTTTATATAAGACCGAGCGGCTAATAATATAGCTATGTTAGCATATATATATAAAGAGGAATTCTCGGCTAAAGTCTTATATAACGCGTGCTTTATTACTTATTATAAAGGCAAGGAAGTTTATAGCTTAGTAAAATACTGCTTAAAGCTACTCGGGGGTTTGACGGCGCTATAGTTTATAGCATTTTCGAATATCTTCTAAGCCACGTTGTGAGACTGTGAAGCCTTCCGTCCGTAAGTATAAAAGAATATCTAAATCGGATAGCCTATGATCAAAGAAGAGCTGGAAGATACGTTGTAGTAAGGCGCTGGAAAATTCTGTACGGACTTCGCGGCGGAGGTTTAAGCTTTATAAGAAACGTTTAAATATTAACGGAGAGACCTAAATTTAGAATAATTCGGAAAGATATATAATTATATTAGAATAAGTCTAGCTATTCTAGAACTTTTTAGTAATAATAGATTGAAAAGGGGTAAGGTCGATACGTAGCCGGCTAGCTATAGTAAGGTATTATAATAGTCTATACGGAGATTTACGAAGGAGAACGGGAAAATATAGATATTAGTAAAGAAATACGAATTAGGTATCTTAAAAAAAACCTAAAAACGCAAGGGTATAGATAGTCTTACGCTTCTATATAGGGGTGTTAAACCCTATATAGAAGTACCTAACTTATAAACTAAAGTTACTAACTATAAACGCTTATATCTATCCTCTTATTCTTATAAGTATACCTATCGTTTCTATATACTAGATTCCCGATTCTATACGCCTTAGTAGGTATTTATAGCATTATATAAATATATGTTTACGTTATCTCTAGTTATTATACGGTCGTATAGGATTTTATAAGGTCTTGCTTAGTCGTAATAAAGCTTGATCTCGATGTTTTCGTTCTTATCTATATATAACTATAGTTAGTAAAGATATATAGACGGTATTAAATATATATAATAATATACTAACGTACATGATAAGCGAGTGAGACAGACAAGCGAGTGAGACAGTAAACCGCGACCGTCGCACCTTGACGCGACCGGCACCTTTTCCTCTACAATAAATCATGGAATCAGCTAGTATTGAAAGAAGGTTACAAATTGCCCTTCAAGCAATGAGAAATGACCCAAAACTTAGTGCTCGGGCCGCAGGTGCACTCTATACAGTCAGTCACGCAACATTAAGCCGGCGACTAAAGGGAATAGTCTCACGACGCGACAGCATGCCTAATTCACGGAATTTATCAGATTTAGAAGAGAAGACAATAGTTGAGTATATTCTCGACCTAGATGCGCGATCATTTCCTCCCCGGCTGAGTGGTGTGGAAGAAATGGCCAATCGACTTCTCGCAGAGCGCGACGCGCCTCCAGTTGGGAAGCGCTGGGCTTCTAATTTCGTCAAGCGACAACCACAGCTTAGGACGCGTTTCTTTCGCAAGTATGACTATAAGAGAGCTCAATGCGAAGATCCAGAGGTGATTCGTGGCTGGTTTTCGCTTGTGAAGAATACAATTGCGAAGTATGGTATTGCTGATGCTGATATCTACAACTTTGATGAGACCGGCTTTATGATGGGCGTTATTGCTTCTGGAATGGTTGTTACAAGTGCTGAAAGGCGTTCAAATACGAAGATGACACAGCCTGGCAATAGGGAATGGGTTACAGTTATCCAGGCTATTAATTCCCAAGGGGAGAGCATCCCGCCATACATCATCGTTGCAGGCCAGTATCACCTCTCAAGCTGGTATACAGAAACCTCTCTTCCGGGCGATTAGGCTATTGCAACGTCTGAAAATGGATGGACAACAAACGAGAGAGGTATTGACTGGATCAGACACTTCGACATTTATACAAAACCACGTACGTCTGGGAAATATCGCCTCCTCGTTGTTGATGGTCATGAAAGTCACCACTCCGCAGCCTTCGAGCTCTTTTGTCAAGAAAACAACATTATTACACTGTGCATGCCGGCTCACTCGTCTCATCTACTTCAACCCTTAGATGTTGGTTGTTTTCAGCCGTTAAAGAATGCCTACGGTCGGCAAATTGAGAATAAGATGCGGCGAGGCACAACCCATATCTCGAAGGAAGATTTCTTTGCAGCATTTCACGAAGCTTTTAAGCAGTCTTTTACGAGGAAAAATATCCAGGGAGGTTTCCGAGGAGCTGGACTTGTCCCTTTGAATGCAGAAAGTGTTCTCTCAAAGCTGGATGTAAAGTTCCGAACGCCAACGCCTGAGGAGGGGGTCCCTCAGACACCAGACCCTTGGATCTCTAGGACGCCGAGCAACCCAAGCGAAGCAAGATCACAGTCTACTTTTATTAAGAGTCGAATCTCACGCCACCGAAGCAGCTCTCCAGCATCAATTTATAGTGCTGTGAGTAAGCTAGCCAGAGGGACAGAAGGACTAGGGCATCGGGTAGCATTACTAGAGTCAGAGGTTCAAATCCTTCGAGAGGAGAATGCAATATTAAGTCGGCGTCGAAGGGCTAAGAAAACACGTCTACAGAAAGGAGGAAGTCTTACTATATCTACTGGAGAGGATATATAGTCGCAAAGAGAGGCAGACACGCAACTACAAGAGGAAACGCGACGGAGTAGTGGTCGCAAAGTGAGGTCTGAGACGACTCATCGTCGGTGTGGCGTATGCGGGAATACAGGCCACAACGCGAGAACATGTCAATTTATTGAGGAAACATCCGAAGAACAGGAATCCGAGTAGTATTAATCAATCTAAGATTTCTTGTTATAGATTTCGATATTATTGTCGCGAAGGTCTGGTTTACTGTCTCACTCGCTTGTCTGTCTCACTCGCTTATCATGTACGTTATACTTAATATTAGTAAGCTTGTCTATAATAGAAACTAATATATTTCTAATAAGTTGTATATGCTTAGGCTTAACGCTACGGACTGCGTTAAGAAAGTTATACTCCGTATAAGAGACGTATAACTTCTTACTACTCGGGGCGGAAGTATAAATCTCTACGGCAGGTCGCTTCGAGGGGGATAAGGCTATATAAAATAGATTAGATTTATATTTAGTTATATATAGGTTAAGACGAAACTTACTAAAGCTATAGTTAGAAACGCTAGAATTATATATATAGTTAGTATAGCTAGCATAGCCGTCTAGAATAATATAGGTATTATATAGACTATTACCTTTGATATAGTTCTTATACTAGTCCTTACCCTCGCGCGTATTTCCGTATACGTATATAAGGAAAGAGTTAGCATTCTATATATGCTTATACTTAAGCGCTTTTTTCTAACGTCTTCCGTTCTTAACCGCAAAGCAAATATCGATTAAGTTATAAGCTTATATAATATATAAGTAAAAAGTAAAGTATATACGAAAGTATAAGGAGACTATACCTTTACTTCCTTATTATTTAGAATATTATTAATAAAAGTATTGCTAGTATAAGGAATACTATCTATAATAAGTTAGTATAATATTATAAGGGAATTATAAAAGTATATATATAGGTAAGGTAGTAGCCGGTTCCGAGAGCATAAGTATATATAGAGGGTAGCTCGGCAGGCAACTCCGTAGGAATCTTTATATCTCCGATCTTATCTAGCATAAGCTCGGCAGCTAGCTCTATATCCTAAGCTATAATATACGGTAGTATAAAGTAATATCGAGTATCGTTTAGGATTATAAGGATGTTATAAGATATTATAGGATGTTATAAGATATTATAAAGCTTTGCTAGAAAACTATACGTAATATAACGGGGGCGACGCCTAGCGCCTAGGGATATGCAAATCTATATAAAAGCTAATAGTTAGCAAATAATTATATAGAAATATATAAAAGCTTAAAAAATCGGAAAAAAAAATCAAAAATAGAGAAGATAAAAGAAAACGGAAGTATAATAAAGGATAAAAACTAAATCTCTATAAAATAGTATAGAAAGCGTTATAAATTTCTATATAGTAGGGGTTATATACCTAAACTCTGCTTAGCATAGGGAAAAGGAAGAAGTTCTAAGCCTTACTAAATTCCTATTTATTTATCGATTTAGGCGTATAGACTATATACCTAATCAACCGGAACCGGAAGATCTAACCTCCGACGGATTATTATAAAGCCTCGTAGGGGGCTATAGTTCTATATAGTAAACCCTTATTTCCTAAAAAGGCAAATACCTACCTAGAAATATACAAAAACAAAAATCGTTTTACGCGAGATTACATATGTTTACGCTTATAGGGTGTTCCTATCACTACCTTGAATTTTGACCCAGTGCGCCCTGCGGACTGCCGTACTGACTCTCCTTACATGAGTCAGCAAAAATAGATGCTCAAACTAACTACGCACTACGGCATCTCCAATTTTCCGGGATCTGTAACGACGGGATCTCCCGCAAAGTCTCCAAAAAGGAGACACCGAGGTTTCACATACGCGCTTTCGAGGCAACCAAATGTCACTTACCGCGAGCGTTGAGAAAACTTTGGAAAGGAATGTCTAGCCGAAATCAGCATCAAAAGAAGTTCGCTGCTCCGCCTGCAAAGTCTGCTTGCACTGGCTGGTGAGTCTACCTTCGCCCTTCGGCGTTTCTGGGGTTGATCATCTGACACCCCTTAAGCAGAGCATCTCGAGTAAGATGTAGCGGCACACGCCCCTGTACCCGCGTAAGTGGTTCAAATAGATATCTATGCAGGGCTACTTGGTGGAATTAACGCCACATTCTGTCAGTGCCTCCGGAAGGAGGAGACTTGTACTTTCGTCCCTAGCCGTCGAGGCTTAAAGTCGACAACAGGTTCAGCGAAGCCTGATCAACAAACACCATCCAACCAGGTCGATTTCAGCCGGTCTATGATCGACGAAGACGTACTTTCTGACCCTTTCTTTACTCATAATGCTGAAATCGACCTCGATCTGGAGATTCCTGTCGGACTTCCCCCTCTTTACAACGATGATCTTGACGCCTTCCAATTTCGTGACATCTTCCGTGGCGATTCCGAAACTGATTTGGATGACTTCTTCACCGATTTATTCAGTACACCGTCGTTCCCTCGCGCGAGCACCAGCGATATACCTACCGCTACTGCACCGCCGCTTCAGCAGCTGACCAGCAACTTCTATACTGACGCTGATGTGTACGAGACACTACCTCACACTTGTTGTAGTTTTTCGTGCCAGAAACAGCTTTGCTAACTCTCTTTCATTATAATGAGAATTATAGTCTGCAGTGCTATTATCGTTCGTTGCACCCAGTCTTTCCCATCCTACCTCCTCCCACCGAGGAAATGATGCAGGAGCGTCCCAGGACTTCGGCATACACCGCCAGCTATGAACCCGCTTCGCCCTTAATTCTGGCTCTATTATCCGTCCTAACTCACCTGCCTCATCAGGGCCATAATAGCACATTGGCTGAGGGCGCACAAATTATCGATAATTATAGCAGCAATTACTTTGCTCGCCAAGCTATGGATGCAATACAAGCCCAATCAACTTCAAATGGGCCGCACATACGCAACACAGCAACGGAGTATCACCGAAATGTGCCCAAAGACCTCGAAGTCCTGTTAGCATGCTGTGTGATGAGTCTTTATCACTACCTCTGCCGAGGGGACATTGACGAGATGACTTTTCTTGCCCAGGGAGCATTCGAACGCATGAAAGATTTCAGTCCTCGCTTCACCATGCCAAATATGGATGCCCGATTTGCAGAGGCTTTCCAGAGAGCGTGGTGGATGACAGTGAGCTACGCCATCTTTAAACTTTGGTCACAAGATAACTAAGGACAAGCCGCAGTACCTGAGCATATGCAACGCATCAATACTAAGTTGCAGAGTAAGTTCATACATTCGATATCAAAGAAAGGTCATCTATTTTATCAAGAACTGACGCTTCATCAGCCGCCCATGGAGACCATTGATATCAACAAAGTTGCCATCCCGTACCCCAGAATAGACAACGACTCAAAGGTGCGCGTAGATAAAGTGTTGATGCGTTGAATAGTAGTCTCATAGTTCAGTACAGGCATGGGAACAGATCGCACGCGCCGAGGAGACACTGGTTGCAGGGACTCTGCTTCTCGTTGCTCTGGTTAAAGGCTTCAAGTCTACGGCTGCCATACCTTCCTTCTACCAAAACATTCGTCTCTTAGACGACGTGATTCGACACCAGCTCAGCAAGATTTCTGCGGAGAAGATGGACGGTGTATTCCGTGAGCGATCTCCTGAATCGCATCTTGAAATTACATTTCGCACGACGGCCCGAATTAGACTGCTCAGGTACGCACCATCATGAAAGTCTGACACAATTACTCTCCAGGGCTAATCTAAATCAGTGCCCGTATCAAGCTGCATAGGTATCGCGCTTTGATGAATCATCCGCGCATCTTGAAGCGGTTTGAAGCAACCCCTCCGTTGCGCAGCATTGGCAGCCATGGTGTTGATAATATGGGCTCTGAAAGCATACGCAAGATCCAAAAGTCGATGGAAATGTTCCCGCTCACTGCCCAGGAGTCTGGAGCTATCTGTTTGGAATCTGCCATGGGTATCTCTGATGAACTTGAACGTCTAGTGGCTTTGGGAATCCCAAGTGAGTGATTGTGACCAGGAGATGTTGACGCGAATGCTGATTGGCTTTTTTAGTCGCGCCTTGCTTCTGTTCTGCCTTGCTTGCAGGGTATACTCTTCTGATGTTCTACCACTTCGAAGAGTTCCCTTCCCGGGCGAATGGCTGTTCCGCTGTGGATGAGGAGATTCAAAAGGGGTGTGAGGTAGGTATCCGCAGCACCGTCCGGGTGCTTGAAACCTTTTCAGCTGGGTTTTCCTACGTCATAGCCGTCAAAGGTATGCAGTTTCCATTGCTCTTGCCCTGGGAAATTTTAGATTGACTTGTACCTGTAGATCAACTTAAAATAGCTGCCACAGCATGTGACATCGCTGTCTAAATCGGTAACTCCATCACCAAGCGAATCCACAACTGTTTTTTTTTTTTTTTTGGGATAAAATGTCTTCGCGGTGTGTATTCCCATAAACAATTAGACCGTTTGGGATTGAGGACGGATTATGTTTGGTTCTAAAAAGGCCATAGATTTCGGGATCCATGATGTCAACATCAATGTACCTAGAGGGTACCCAAAGGAAGCACCTCTGTCAGCTATGTAGTCGTGTATATACTTTTTAAAGTGCTTTATTATGTGGGACAGTCGACTATGGTCCACAATGGGGCGAGCCAGTGATGTTAGCTTGCCTGATGAAGCTTTAGGGAGGATTGAAATGGCAGTGAAGGTTTGAGCCTCGAACAAGACATCCAAAAGTTCGTCCGATTAGTCTGGCGGACGCTCTTTCTGATATTTGCCTCTGAAAGTTTTGGGAGAGGTTAACAATGGAGTGAAATAGTTAAGTTCCAAAGAATGCAACGTGGTGATTTAGTTAAGATCCAACAGAAATCAATCGCCGTCAAAGATTCAGACAATTGTAAACAACAACGACATGGTAATATAAAGCAAGTGACTGAGAATATGAGAAGACCAATATGGGCTCTTTCACTATGCCGCCTACAGCTTGCCAGACACATCACCAACGCGGCACAGGCATAAAGGCAACTCACAACAGGTAACATTCACCCACACGTGCTTAGTTAGCCCTAGCAACGATCTAGCAAAACACCCATAGTCAATTTAGAAGGAGTGGAAACCCACTCAACCAATAAAATCGTTTACTTTGACCCCAAAGCCAGGCGTTGACAAGTACATACAACATCTAAGCACATTCTGCAACATTGGAGCCCTTGCCGCCGAGAAAGCCCCCTTTGTCACCGGCCCGACTACCTTCTTCCTCCGCCGCACTTATGGCCCATGTCCGAGTATCCATTCGAGCTGGGCCGTCGAGAAAGGGGTGAGACGAGGTTACTCTCACCATGGTGCGCGACCTGCGGATGTACACTGCAATTTTATCTCACCCAGAGGCCGTGCACGTGCAGTCCAAGCAGTACCATCTTCAACACAGCTTTAACACCTCTGATGACGTCAATAACTTCAACCTATGAAAAAGTCTAGGCCTCGTCAACTCAGAACAAATGATCGAACACTCAGGACATATCATTATGCTCGCCATCTATGTCAGTCTCTGAACACCAGACGCCTAGTCCCAGGTATGCACGCATAAAGTCTAGTACATAACGTAACCATTTCCAACCATCAGATACCAGTCTTCCTCCTTCTTCCCGTCGTTCTGTCAGTCAGACCAAAAACCCTTGAGCAGGCTACCTCTCACGCACCGAGTCTCATATTCCATTGCCGTGTGAACTCCCCCCGCGAACCCGACGCTCTATCCGGGTATCATTTCCTTATGAATAGTATGCCGTTCACCACCTTTGCCTTTCCAACCAATGCCCGTTTAACGCTGTGCTAGATGCACCGACTCAGGGCGTGCGTTTCCCATTCGATGCTGAGACAGCATCGCCTTGAAAGTCTGGTACCGATTCCCGTTTGTGCCATCAGCCTTTTCTCTATACGGCACCAAACGCAAAAGAGGACAAAACGAGTTCCAGTTGATACTGTTCGCAAACAATATTGGGTGTCGATATCGCGGGCAGACCGTGTCTTCTCCCAAACATGGTGTACATCAGGGTATCGACCTTATATCGCAACAAGTGCTCTAAGAATCGCCAGCTGCCGGTCGTGATCGCTGCGCGACCACTTCCCGTGCGTAAAATTCTACCAACATCGTGGCATACGCCTCTAGGTCTTCCACAGGAACCGCAAGTCGGAAATCGTTCAGTAGAAGGAACTGGAGCTCAAGGTGGTTGAGCTCGGCTAGTGGAAGACCGCCGACCTGGAAACTGTTAGGTCTGATTGAGAAGCTAAGAGGGCAGATGACATACCTTTGCATATCTTGAGTTGGTGTAAAAGACATCCGAAAAGAACTTGCTTGCGCATGTCACGCCCGCAATAATTAACCGATGAATATTAAAACTGTCAACCACAAAATATGTCGCCGGTCCGGGCATACCCGGAGGTGTGGGTTGGGGCACAATGCCTCCGTCGGCCGGTTTCATACTCTTCTCATCAGCATCGTCGTCATCGGCAAGGTCAGAATCAGTCTCGTCGTCCCGCATTTCTACGTCGGCAGACTGTGACTGGGGTGCTTGCTGCGAAGTAGACTGTCTCCGTGCCTGCTCGTGCTTGACCACCATCTCATTGACTCGCTCTGTCATGCGGTCGAAGTACACCAACAAACTTAAAAAGACCTCATAGGTGGTGGGGCAGTACTTGTGAATACGGGATAGGTAGCTGAGAATGGTGATGGCAGGGATGTTTTTCCCGTGGAAGGCAAGAACCGAGGTACTCAGAGGGCTCATCGGTGTGCAGTTGCCTGACTCGTTGTTTTGGCTCGCCTGCTGCTGATGGGCCACGTTTCGTTGCATGGCATCATGCTGTAGATCATTGGTAGTCGTGATTTTTGTTAGAAGAGCAGCAACCATTTCGATGATATCGCCAATAGGCATGGCGCTGATCTCGTACTTCATTTGCTGAAGGGGAGGGTCGTTAAGAATCCCAGGCCCGTTACCAGTCACCATGTCTGCGCGGGCCAAGCTCTGGATGTGCGCCAAGTCGCGCACATGAATCGTCGTCTGACCCTGTGGGTTTTGGCGAGGAGAAGAGGTATCAGAAAGGGGGTATGAGGGGGCGCCGGCGCCGTTGCCATCGGAGGCAGGCGAGGGTTGCTGCTGCTCCTGGCGCAGGGCGCGGGTAGCACCCTCTGGAGCAACTATGGAAGCAGCATGGTTGGTCTCGCGAGAGTCGGTAGAGGCCATGTATGCGGGGCTTTCGGCATGCTGAGGCCTCGCTCGGGTGGGCGATGAGGAGGAAGGAGGCGAGGGGAAGCGAGATGCTCCTCCACTAGGCGGCGCGTGCTTCTCTGTGGGCTCTGCCGAGTCCCAGTCAGAGCGCTTTTGACGAGGGGGAGGAGTGTTGGTGTATCTTGGGCTCGTAGAGGGGCGTCTCGCAGAAGCTTCTCTTGACCGGCTGGCAGATCGGTAGTGCGACTCGTGCGAGTGTTGGTGCTGGATGCCAGGGGTGGCAATCATGTTATGGAAGTGGGAGGGATCAGAGACGAAGTCACCGATCACAGCAGCCATAGCATCGTATTACTCCAGAAGGAACTGAATTACGATTAGGAGAGTTGGAAGCGGCAGCTACAGACAAAATGTACAGTCAGTAAGGTCGAAGAAGTCAAGCGTCACAGGGCTTTGCTCAGGGGAGAATTAACAGATGTGGACAAAAGCAAATGGGAAAAAAGATGGTAGGTTGGGTGTTGGGTTGGTAAGGGTTGACTGAAGCATGATGACGCCTAAGGCCCCAGCATAGGGGGACTAGCACCAGCGGCGCGCTGGTCGATCGAGAATGATTCGTCGTTACATCGATGCGATGACGATCTCGAGAGCAAGGGTTGCCCTCAGGCAGAGTCTTATTGGCGAAGGACCAGATCGAACTGATAGAGCCGGCGAGGAAAGCAACAATCAGTACAATCGCGAGCCCCTGGCGACTTCAACGAGAACCGAAAGGCGACACGCAGTTGAAGCCAACAAGGAGGCACGACTGTTGCCAAAGGCCGCTGTCGAGCGTCAAGGCACAGGTGGTTGCCACTCGGACTAGTGATGTCGGACGCATGTGTGGCCGACGTCACATATGCGTGATCTCCAGATAACCCGGACAATAAAGACAAGAACCACGCGATCGGGGTATAATGATAGGGTAGATGATGGGACAGGGAGGAGGGCGCAAAAGAGCCAGGAAATACGAAGGAACTCACCTAAGTCGTCCCAACGAGAGTAATGGGGGCCCGTCGACAGGCGATAAGTCTAGGTAGTATGGATATGAGTAGACGGAAGCAGCAAGTGAGATTATCGACACGATGATCCAGCGACGTATCTCGACGTTGCAGCTATTGAGAGGAATTATTCGGGGATGATGGACACCAGTTAAAAGTGTGGTTGAAGTTGTTGGAGGGTAAGGTTGGAGGAGGATGGAGGCTGAGGCTGGTTAGATCGAATCAGGACTCGGAGGCGCTCAAGAGAGAGTCGAGGCCAAAAGTCGCGGGAAATAGACACAAGGGCGCGCCGAGTCTAAACAAAGACCGGAGGCGGACGGGGCGGCGATGGCGACTATCGCGGGAGGAGGGGAAATAGTTATTTGGAGCGTGACGGACTCAGCAGAAGTCGCGATGGTGTTTTTGTTTGGGACCCGTTTCGTGAAGCGTGTGCGACAGGCCTGCAAAGTAATAAACAGTAAAAGAAAAACAAAAACCAAAAAGAAGCCCTCCTGGATGTTGATTGATGTCAGGTCTGGTAGAAGACGAGACTCTCTGTTGGGCCAGAACAGAAAAAAGGAAGGCAGGACTAGGAGGAGGAGGGGGGTGGGAAGGAGGAATCGGGGGAGAGCGGATAGAAGGATGGATTAGAGAGAGTGGATGGTGGTGGATGCAAATGGCTAGGTAAGGTAGTAAGGTAGACAAGACTGGTTGGAGTAGAGGGGCCTAGGCTAGAACATAGGAGGAGACGAGAGAGAGGGGGGAGAAACGGAAAGCAGCAGGCACGTCGGCAGACAGAGGGGCAGGGGCAGGACAGCTTTGGTATAGGTACCTACCCAACGTGCCGACTTGAAAGGTACCTAGGCAATGGGGGTGAAGTGTGAACATGGAGGGGAAAGAGGAAGTGGGCAGGGGACAACGCGCCTGTATGCCTGCCCACTAACTCTGAAGAGCGGCTTGAGGTGCGTATGGAAAGAGCATTAGAGTGGGCGATGGACTGGGCTGGAACTGGCAGCGCACAGGCTTTGGGGCTTGGATGAGTGGGCTCGGTCGGTTGGTCTGGCGCGCGGCGTGGGGTCACTGTGAGTCGTGCCTTGTTCGTAGTCAGTGGGCACGTCTGGCAGGAGGGAAGGTAAGATTGGGTTGGTTAGGTACTGTGGTACTATGATACGAAGACACTACGCTACTTGTACTATAAATGAGTACTTTTCTTCGTCAATCCACACCATAGAAGAGAACTGCGAAAGTACACTACTTTTGCCGCAGCAATTCGATGAGACCCTTGACAAGATTGACGGTCTGGTGGAGCCGGATGAGGTAAATGGCAAAAAGATGGCCGTCCCAAACAGATCAGGATGAGCAGTAGCAGACCGAGACCAGCTGTGATGTGGCTGATACGACTCGAAGCGTTTGTGTGATTTTGTGCCATGTGTTTTGTATCAAGTAGGCGGGTGAACTTGCAGTTGCTTAGCGGTCCGTCTCTTTTTTTTTTTTTTCTTTTTTTTTCTTTTTTTTTTTTTTTTTTATTCATTTTGTGCCCTAGGTGGTTTTTCCATTAATCTTTACTTCGTTTACATTCTTCTTACCGTCTGTGTCATTCCATTTTCCCAGCGATCATTACTCCTAGGGTTCCGGGAAAACAGTAGCAGCATGAAAGTAGGAAGGAAGCTCCGTGGCCGGCGTGGCGGGATGACAAAAGTTGGGAGCCACCCGAAACATGTGATGACATAAACAAGCGCTAGCTTCCCCATGCCCAACTGCTGTAGCCACTCACAGCCGCCGCAACAGCAACAACTTCCAGGGTCCTTTCCTCGCTTCGTGCAATCACTGTAAGTATGCAAATGCACAGTCGCAGGCAGGTGCAGATGTACATGGTAAGTGCTGCTGGGTTCGTGGTTCCCTGCCCTTCCCCCTCCTGGGGCCTCTTGGCCCTGCCCAGTTCCCAGCTGGCGGGCCCATCCGAACCCAGCACAGCCTCTCCTCATTCTGTGTCCCTTTTTTTCTTCTCCATGCGCTGCATCAATTCAAAGAGAGAAAGCAAGAGCATCATGGGAGATTAAAACGCCTCTGTGACCGCGCACACTCCTCCAGGCCTGCTCCTTGCTCGTGTGCGCCTCCCCCTCCAAATCTTGACGCTCGATGGCAGTGCAGCCTGACGTAATGTCAAAGGCAATTCGACTTGCACTTCCGATACTCCTCAACCAACCATCGCAGTCGTCGAGGCTGACAGTTGCGCATGTCCAAGCGAGCAAGTCTGAGCTCATCGAACAACTAGCGGCAACTACTACTGGTACAAGAAAGGGGAGGAGATTTCCGGAGATGGGCGAACGGACATCCCGGCAGCCTGTCTGGTCAAGTATCTGTTTTTTTTTTTTTTTTTTTTTTTTTGACCAGCGATGAGGTACTTGTATGCAGCGCAATCAGAACCCGAAAATTCCCATATTGGCTTACGGAGACTGACAAAAATGAAATAAAAATAAACAGATAGAAAATAAAACCAGGTGCGGTACAAAAAGAAAAGCAGCCCAGTGGAAGGGGATAAACAGCCCACCATTGCAGCAGCAACATACTGACCCCAGAACCACCAGCACCAACACCGCCAGAGACTTTCCAGGCCATCCACAGCGCCGGAGGCGGGAGGTGTGCAAATGCACCACTCTCATTGGTTGCCCTGATTATCGATACCACTGATAAGAGATTAACGAACAAGGGTTCAGATACGCCTCGGCAAGGGAACCACGACTTTCTTTGGAGTCTCATCCAGCATGCCATCCGGAAAAGGGAAGTACCATGTATCCACCCAAACCCGACAGAGTCTTCCTGGCGATTCCGGTCCTTCAGTCCATTCTGCTGCTAGTGTGCTCCCATTTGCCTGCCGTCATGCAACGGGCCACCACAGACCACAGGCCACAGGCCATAATCCACCCTCAATACCCACATTCATGATGGACGTCAGGAATGGAGCTATGGAACTCCCGACAAGCTTCCACCAGGTCACCACGAACCCTCAAGAACACACTGGCCACGTTGGTCTGCGCACAACCCAATCAATTTCCGAAATCTCCTAATAATCACCGTCTTCTATTCTCGCCATCCCTGCCCGCACCGCCCGATCAACGGCCGGATCTGGAACCTCACTACCATCCAAATCTGGCTACCCTGCCCAGTGCTGTCTCCATTCTCCTTGTCTCCTCTTTTCCCCTTGGACAGCCTGCTTCAATACCGTGACCATTTCTCCAGAATTTCCAAGGTGGCCCATCCGCAAATCAGTACATGGCGTCGCATTAATCTTGCTCTACAAACGCCATTCTCCGGGACGTAGTGTCAGAAAATAGAAACACATTCAGCCTGTCCCTCGTCCCGGCGCCGGCCGCTCATCAGGTACCCGTTCCTCACGTGCAAGCACCGTTTGTTGGACGCCAGATACGCAACTTCAATGTCTAGACTTGGTTTGGATGTCTACTCCATAGATGGGATGATTTAAAGCAATGATCGGCTTGTTGCACCATTCACAACGGCTGTATACAGACAAACCCATCAGGTGGCTTTATCAGCAACAAACACCTAGACACACCTGAAAAGCGCTGGCTGAACGCCCTTATTTCCTTCACTGGCCTGCTTCACTCAATGTTGGCTATAGCCACGAACACCCAAAAGGGGGTAACCAAAAACAAGCTTTCAATATCGCCCATTCCACCACACCCGCTCCCCGGCGTACCCTCGAGTACGAAAACCCCATGTCTCTGCCCCCCCTTACCACCACCAACTAGCACCTCCCGGCCAATGCCCGGTGTCGACTCCGGCACGGGGTCTTTGCAGCTGCTAATTCCAAGTCCCTTTACACAGTACAGGCCTGTGCCAACCCACAACACCTTCACCGCAATCCCACTATGGAATGGGGTCATCATGCCCGCACAATTGCCAGCTACCGGACATCGTGGCACCCCAGGTCGCCAACAGCCCGTCCCACGTTTCCCATCCACGCCGTTCCATTACTTTCCTGATCCTTTACCGACTGCTGACGACATTCACACCTCTCCTTCACCTTAGATCAAACATGCCAAGTTGACAGATGAGTCTCAGTCCCTCAACAATCTTGTCCCGGCCTCCGGGTATCCTAAATGCAATCAACCACCCAAATGGCGTGCCCTCTACCCGCCTCACTTTTTCAAGCTGTAGGTCTCATTCAGAGTCTCTCTACCTAGTCACAGCCGCAGGTCACGGTCAGAATCTGGCCATCGTCACCCCCCTTTCCCCATGCTCCCCGCATCGTCGCGATTCGTTCCCGCTCTTTACCACCCGCAGAACCGAGCGGCGCTAAAAACATGGTCCCCCTTCACCGCTTCTAAGCTGTCTTTTTTTTTCCCTCCTCTGTCTCTTTTTTGGGTGAGACGCAAACACTTTTTGAGTACTGGGATATCTTTTCCCCGTTTTGGGCTTTCTCTCCCTGCATTATGCATACATGCGTCGTACGGAAGGATGGATAGGAATCTCGCGTGTTGTAGCTTGTATGGCCCAGGATGACGACTACTGTAACATCGCACGCGACCTCGGGTCCTTATCAGTCACGGCGATGTTGATATCTCCGACTAGCCGCTGGTAACAGGTTCTCTGATAACAGATTTTCCATGCAACAACCCTCTTTATTTTGGAAGAATCTCGTCTTTGCGGGTAATCTATTTATTGTACATTCAAAGCTCGTCGTCAAGTCTCAAGAGTTGCCTCAGCCTCGCTGTCCTCTCCTGAAAGGCTCGTTCATAACTCATGACTGACCAGCGTGCAAAACGACGTCTTTCGTCCCTCGACGGTGATGGCCGGCGTTTAGGACGATCTGTTGCTCTTCATCTGTCTTCCTCTAGCCTCACGCCTCCCACTCAGTGCTTTACCGTGTAGTCCTCGTCAGGAAGGTACAGATGCCTCTGCGCACCCTTGGCCGTCAGGACGACCATGCGAATGACACCACCAGAGCTACCATCCCACTTGATGGCCTCCCGCAGCGCACCCTTGACAAAGTTGACGGCGTCCTGCTCCTCCATGCCTTCCCTCCAGTTGGCGTCACAGTAACCGTAGATGTAAGTCGATCCCGATCCGCCAATGGCATACGCCTGCTTGTGTAGGGAGCCTCCGAGAGGGATGGAGTAAACCTGGCCGCCGTGGCGCTCGTCCCAACCAGCGATAATGAGGCCGGCCCTTTGATTGAAAGTTAGTCTTGTTCGCGCACAAGTATCCAAGGGTATAAGACGGTGAACTCACGTCAGACGGTCCTTGTTGGCGTAGCAAATCTCTTGGAAGATGGCAGCGGCTGTTTGCGTCATGGGGGGCTTGCCGTTGCGCATGGCGTACAGACCCAGCTGGTACTGGACGATATCGGCGACTGCCTGAGTGTCGGCGGCGGAGCCTGACCGGCAGCACCAAATGGTGTCGTGGACTTGTGTGAGCTTGTCGGTGACTCGGTTGGCAATGTACGCGCCAGTTGTTGTGCGGGAATCAGCGCCTGGAGGGATCGACTGTCAGTCATGGCCTGTCGTTTCTTCGCGGGCAAGTAGGACCGCCGCCAAGATGATCAATGACATACCCAGAATAACGCCGTCCTTGAACGTAACTGCCATACTGCACTGTTGTTAGGTCTCGAAGTAAATGATGCGGGCCGGAGGGTTTGTTTAGCTTACATCGAGGTTCCGAGGCTGTGATATACGTCAGCGGGGTTCGTTCCTAGAGATTACACAGCGCCATCACACTTACTTGACCTCTCCCTTCTTTAGTCTGTCCATGTCGACGTGGATGCCATCTGTAATGTTTCCCAGCAGTCAGTCACCATGCTTGCTTCTTTGCTCAAACTTTCCACCCCACATGTCCAGCTCCCGCAATGCTTGCATCATGGGAGGGGGGTTGATGAAAGAGAGCTCCAATCCGTACCTTCGTTGAGCATGCCGGTGGTTGTGAAATCCATCTTGATACGTTGCTTCGTGCGTAGAATCGATAATCTGTCTGAGGTATTTGAGGATGGGAGGAGAGTTCGGTCGTGTGATGGTTTGATGTGTCGTCGGTGGGAGGGCGGCGGTTGCTGAGGGAAGGCTGGAGCTTAGTTGAAGCTCAGGCAGCTCCAGAACGCGTTGGCCTTGCTCGCCCCCCGACGAACCGACCGACTATCACGTGATTCATATTACATAATATTGCGAACTTTCCAACCTTGAATGATGACTTGCCAATTTCTATTATGAAAAGGAAAATGCAAAAGATGTACGTCTATCCAAACGCATTGGTCTTATTTTCTGTTCAAAAGTGATGTTTGGTTGCATCTTAGGTGACTCTATTCAAGTGCAAGACTCAATCAACAGCGATGAAGACTTCGACGTCCCGTCCCCTCCGCATCACGTACGAGGCTCAAGACTCCAAACGTGCAGAAAGAAAAGGGATTGGGTGTCATCATATGGGTATATAAATTTGAACGGGCGGGTGTTGGTTTCCACTGTAAATATGCTTCCGCCTCGCGCCAGAAGCGGCTCAATGTCTCCTCTTCTAGATATCAAGGTAGCTGTCTCTGTGCCGATATACACGACTATCGCCTGGCACATTTTTTTTCTCTTCTTCATACAAAGACCTCCGACAATATGGTACAACCTAAGTCCAAAAAGCCAATTCACGCCCGCTCATGTTGATAAATATAGATAAGATGTGATATACGCATGCTTAACCACCCTTGGTCAGACTGCCAAAAGAAGAGGAGACCCGTCAGCATGGTATACCTCCACGCACAGTCTAGGCGCCAACGCAACTTACCCGTCCTTCTCCAACTCCAGGCTGGGCTTCTTCTCACCCTCGGCCTTCTTCTTGTCGTCGTCTCCGCAGCCGCAGTCGTAAAAGTCGCCAATCTTGCTGCAGTCAAACTGCTCCTTCTTCAGGCGCGTGTTGACCTCGTTATGGACGAAACAGGCCCAGCCGGCGGCGGCAATACGGCTGCTGGTCTGGGGAGGGTACTTTGCGAGGAGCTTGCGGAAGTGCGCGGCGCAGTCGCCACAGGGGTACAGGCGCGCGAAAAGCTGGATGTACGTCTTGAGGGCAAGGCTGTCGTCGGGGGTCGGCTTCTCGGGGAAACGCGCCATCATCGTGTGGAAGAGCTTCCACGATGCGCGACCAAGTTCGGCCCTGTCACGGATGTTGTCAGCATGGTCTGTTCCTTTACTTCCACCGGATCCGAGACTGGGGATTGGGGTGGTTGGTCAGAAGAAAGGGTCAGGCCTACTTCGCTGTCGCATTTTCCAGCTTGGGGGCAATGGACTCGCCGGAGAGAATGCTGTCTGAAATGTGTCCGAGGTTGGGAATATCGCCGGTCGAAGGTGCAGAGTTGCCCTTCAGGGGGGCGGGAGATGCAGCATCGCTGCTACCACCGGAGAAAAGGTACGAGATACTCAAGAAGGCCACGACGGCCACTACGAGCATTAGCGAGAGATGTTGTCTCCTCGCCATGTCGGGCAATACGTTGGTGTATCAGTCCGGCGGGGGAAATATAAACAATCAAAAAAAAATATGTAAAGGAGGGGAAGATAGGCTAGCAGCGCTATACGGCGAGAAAAAAGAAGAAAGAGAAACAAAAAGGAGGGAAATGCGAACCTCCTTTGCGGCGGAGGAGGATGCGGACGGATATCGTCTTTTTGGAGCTTGGCAGACAGAAGTGCAGGATTGCCTAGGCTAGGTAGACAAAAATGTCAAAGTGCTCCAACGCCAGTACGGCGGAATAAGATGAGGGGAGAGGGAGGGGGACCTGATATTGGGTCGGCCCACGCTTGCAGGGGGCCCATCGGGCGAGGCTATTCTCCTATACCCAATCCTATCGCTGCGGTGTCCGCGTTGCGCCACCTGTCGCATGGTCCCGATGGCCTTTTTTTTTTTTTTTTTTTTTTGGCTCCAGCGAGGAGAGTCGTTCGTTACAACAATATAGCGGTTCGCAGCGATCGATCCCACTGAAGACAGCCCACCGAACCGCTGTGGTGTTGGAAAATCAGGGGACCGTTCCAGCCCTGTGCGATCCCTGGCCCCTGCGCCCGTACTACCCCTTAACTTTGATTCGGGTCCCACTCCACTGGGGCCCCTGACAGCGTCCCGAGGTAGGACTTCTCCAGCGGCGTGGGAAAAAGTCCACCAAATAGACGACATGCTAAAGTGCTCCCGGGATGAAGCGATTCCGGTATCCGATCAGGCGTGGCGATTGGTCTGTTGGGATTTCGTATGAACATCACGATGCAGCATCGGAAGTCAGGGCGTCGTCTTGAAGTGGCCACTCTTACCAACTGCCTTTCGCAACTTGACTGGATTTTTGCGCATACTTTTCCTTTTCCCTTCAGTAAGACCATTTTGTGGTAGTTGGCTATTTGTTGTTTTCTAGAGCAACACAGATTATCAGCAGCAATACTTGCTACTCATTCAACTGAGAGCTCAAGGTCTTCTCCATGTAAAACCTACATCTACTGCCTACGACAGCACTTAGAGCATTTTCAAAGGAACAAATTTTGCCAGTTACAAACAGCCTCAAGGCGGTCAGTCTCCTTTGTCTGCACTGACGGCAATCAGGCGACAGAGATATCGTGTATTTCTATTAAAGAGAAGAAGCAACTCTTTGCGAAAACACAAACCAAATCCACCCTCTTGCACTGTGAGAAAGACAACACACAACTGGGTGCGTTCAAGAGAACCCCTCCACTTGATCTCTTATAATTTGCCAGAAAAGCTTCTTGCTTATGAGACATCAACAAAGTTGAGGTATGCAGGCTGAGTGATGCGTCTCTCAAGAGTCCCAACCAACTGTTTATAAAACCTCTGTTCCTCCTTCCCATCCGCGAAGCCTGATGAAGTCGCTATAGCGAGTAAACGGCGAACCTGGCCGAACACACAGGACAACTGCAACTGAACGCACTGTCTTCTGTTGAGTTCCAACCAAGCGGTATAACCGAAGCCGAAAGTCTATAACACACGAAAACCGCCTTCCAAACGCCACAGCCATGCATTCAAGTGAGGAGACAAACGATCAGGGAAAGTCAAGAGCAGCGCGGGCTTGGCTTTCCTTCTCAGGAAGAGGGTTATAGAGGTTGCTATAATGCGCAGAGCGCAAGTGTCGCCGGATCTCGTCTTTGCGGGATCTGCTAGCGGGGCAACGGTTACAGGGGAATCGAATCTTGCCGTGCTCGTTGACGTAGGTTCTTGCGGGTGGTACGTAGTTAACCAGGGGCAACGGCAGATCAGCCTGATTGACGGCAGCGGGGGCGGGCGCGGCGACAAGCGCCGGAGAAGGGGCAGAGGCGATGCCGGGGTTGACGGTAGGCGAAGCGGTGGTGACGGTCGAAGAAAGGGGGTTGGCGGCGGGACCGGGGGCGGCAGCGAGACCGGAGACGGGGGCCGGGCTGTGATTGACGGCGGCTTGAAGGTCCTCAAGGCCAAGAGGGGTTGGAGAGCCACCGGTAGCAACGGGAGTCGCGTCAAGAGACGCGAGCTGGGCGGCAAACTCGGCGTCAGACATGCCAGTGCTGCCAGAGGACAGACTGGGATCAATACTGTTGCTTAAGTCCTGGTAGTCATCCCCATCGTTTTCGTTGGCGGCGACGGGGGCAACTGAACTGGAGACACCGGCGGCGAAAGGGAGAGGCAGGTTCTGGGCGGCAGGAGCGGGAGGCTCTTCGTAACGGATCTCGTTGATCCCATTTCCAACGAGGAATCGGACAGGGTAGGCCACATGCGGGCTGTTTATATAAGTTAGCCGCCATAGAACTGGGTTGAATATGAATACGTACGGAAGGTACTGAAGAGGGGCCTCCGCGCCCTCTATCTCCTCCTGGTGCTGGTGTTCTTCGACTATGTTAGCTATCGAAGAGCCAGAAGTGCGATTTTTGCTCACCGTAATCCATCTCTTCTTCCTCTAGGTATCTAGCTTAACCAACGCTAGAAAGTGGTTATGGTGATGATGGGCGGCGGTGGTGATGTGATGCCAACAAAAAGGGTAGTTGACTGGCGATGGTGATGATATTCGAGGTTGAAGAAGGAAGAAAGAAGAGTCTTCAGGGTATTGAAAATAATAATAGTATTTGTGCCCTTGAGTGCCTTTGCTTATGTCGTCGAGGGCATTGACGAGAGGGCAATGATGCTGTGCAGCGGCTGGTAAGGTCGCGGCTGGTGCCAAGCAGGAGTTTGTCGTGTCGACGTTCTGATGGGATCACGAAGTGCCATACTGATAATTGCCATCTGAGTTCCGGGAAAATCCTCCAAATATGTTAATGAAAAGGTCACTGGAAAAACAATGCTTTCACTCATCTACGTTGCCCTGAAGTGCAGTTCACAAGTATTATCATTATCATCTTAAAGACATCAAAAGTCATAGTACAGAGTGAAACCCGAAGAAGAAAGACTGTATCGAGTCGGATGAAAAGAAGTGAGCAATGGGGAGTGTTTCCAACTTTAATAGCAGTCCTTCCATGCTCCATTTCCATTGTATTAGTGGCAAGCTGCAAGTGCTCCTCCAAAACTTCGAATCCCATTTGCCCATCATAGTGATCAAGAGAAAAGCTGTGAAGAGTCTCGAGAATGCACATTCAACAGGGTTCTATCATTTATCTTCATTTGAGGCCTCAGCCTTTGTAAAAGAGCACTTCCCACTCTTAGATGCTCCGATCGACTCCGGATGGTGGCTCCGAGTTCTAGTGGAGCCTTCCGAGACACGGAGCCGATGGCCAATGATTCAGGGCCACACATCGGCAGGTCTCCGCAATCCAAACTAGGCAAGACACGGAACCCTCGGCTTCCAGAATACATCCATTTTCCCCACACGATTTTACGTACTGACAACCAAACATCCAAAGTTGGAAGGTTTGTGGTTGTGAAACATGCGTTGATGAGCTCTGATGAGAATAGCAGCCGGATACAGGCGGTCAGCTGCGGCCAAGCAGGGACCATAGGCTTAAATGACTACCTAATCCCGGCTTCGGCATCTTTTAGCCGCACCTTACAGCCAAATCTAGAGGAAATGACGTCACCCATCAGTGCCAGCTGTTTGTTGCTTGCGACGCTTTGTTGATCGAGCGTCGCTTTTCACTTTTTTTCTCGTTCCTTTCCTTTTTCAGCTGGCCTGTGATAATCTCGGTCCTCCCCACCCCCAAGAGAAAAAAAAAAAAGGAGACCCCTCCCTCTTTCTCGGCTGCCTCCCAGATGCATCTCATTTTTACATGACTTTTGTCTTACCCTCGAATCGCAGCCAACCCTACATATACCCTCTACTACGTAGACAATCGCCTTTCCAATCGCCAAACGTCATTTAACCTTCTACATCCTATTGCCCCAATCTATTCGTAGGCCACAGCTCCCATCTTACCTAGTCTGAGCGCCCCATTAGAGAGCTCTGCAAACGGCAAACACGGACCAGTTGCCAAGCTTGAAAGGTCCACTGAAGACATCATTGGCGCCGTAATCCAGCCAGCCCGACAAGGCGACCCCTAGAAGTGATCTACGGTCTTGGCAACGGCCACAACATCCTGCAAGGGTTTTGACAGGATCTCCCGCTATATCTCTTCCAACTTGGTCGGATCTTGTTTGCCCAGCCAACAGCCAAGCGCAAGTCATCTTTCACTAGCCACCCGACAGCCGAAATATCTTGGACTGCATCAGCCACGACGTCTTCTTTGACACTAGAAAGGCTTACTTGCTTTGCCTCTGACTGACATTGGCCCGCGGAGATGTCAGCAGAAGAGGACCAAAGGCCCAACGGGCATCCACCCTCAGACGGGCCGTCTGATGGGCCCGCCATCTCTAATACGACCGCACCTCTCAATTCAAGCAACGAATCTCATGCGGCTTCTGCCACTCAGCAGCAAGCAAATGAACATGTTCCAAACGGACATGCCCCCAATGGCTCGGCAGGCGACAGTCCAGCGACGGATGGCCACATACCCAACGGCACGTCCACTGCTCAAGAGACAAACACCAACGGCCATGCAGCCAACGGCACAGCTTTGAATGGCCAATCTCCAGAAGGTGCGGCTGTGAGCGGTCCTGCCACTGATGGCGGCAACCCGACAACACATGACGGACCATCAACTAACGAGACTGGCTCGCCTCAGCACAAGGAGGCAGCTCTTGAGAACAGGATCGAGAGCACACAGAACCCGGATGCTGATGGTCACAAGCCACCCAACGAGAAGCCTCACCATCACTCCAGTGATCTCAAGGGACTGTATGTCGAGGGGAAAGAGAAGGTAAAGGACAAGACAAACATGAAGCCTTCTGGTGGCTTCGATACAACTCCGCTTCCAGATGCGCCACCGGGTTATACGGTGCGTTTCATCTTCCATAAAGCCAGCAATCTCCCGGCCGCAGACCTCAGTACCAGATCCTCCGACCCCTTCATCCATGTCACTCTCAAAGCGGCTATTCCAAAGCGACATAAAGAGGACCCTGATCTCACCCACCGGACAAGGACCGAGAGACGGACGACAGAGCCGGTGTGGAATGATGAGTGGGTTGTCGCCAATGTCCCCTCTGACGGCTTCATCTTAAAGTGCCGACTGTATGACGAAGACTACCCCGACGCCGACGACCGCCTGGGTAACGTCACCGTTAGGGTGCCGCATGTTGGAGAAGACTGGGAAGGGTTTCCGCCTCCGGGCCAGGAATTCATCGCAAAGAAGCGTATGGGAAGCAAACGCGCCTATTTCTTCAAGGCAATCACGAGCCATTTCGACCCGACAGTTGACATGTCACCGAGGCTCTGGATCAGCATGGAGGTTTTAGGAAAATCGGACCCTCCACATGCCCAGATGTATACGGTTGGACCGACTACGTACTTCAAGCATTTCAGCCCCATGATTGGCCGTCTCACGGGTATCAAGGTCAACAAGGATGAGAACGATGATGCCCGTTCTGACACGGGCAATGACAACCAAGACAATAAAAATACTCAAAAATACGAGTTGGTTGCCCAGCTTAATCATACTGTGATTCTTTACTGACCATTTTTCTTAGTTTCCAATCCAATGAGATGCAGTTGTCCGGCCCCGTGCCTCCTGAACTATACCATCGCTATGTCGAATTCCGGCCCATGATTGGTCTAATGTTCGCCAAGAGCGGTTTGAGGGGCAAGATCCTCAACAAGGCACTGCATAAGCAACATAGTCGAGTGTACAATTTCGACAGTTCGACTGAATATGGAGTGTTTAAACCGCGGTCCGAGGAGGCATCGCTCCAGTTCCTTAAGATGGTACACTTTGATGAAGGCGGCCGCATCTTCACATACGTACTTACTCTCGACGGCATGTTCCGCTTCACAGAGACTGGAAAGGAGTTCAGCATCGACATGTTGAGTAAACATACCATGCACAGTGACGTAGAGACATACATTGCCTGCTCTGGCGAGTTCTTCGTCCGCCGGCTAGAGAAACCAGATGCTTCGGACGACCCTGAGCCAAAGGAAAAGACACACCCCGCAGATGAGTTACCCGACGGCCCCCCCCACGGACATCCCCCTCACAACCCTGCACACTACCAGCTCTTCATCGACAACGATTCTGGAACATATCGGCCCGACAAGTCGATTCTTCCCAAGCTTAAAGAGTTCCTCGAGGCCAACTTCCCGGGAATGGGCATCGTCACCATGCACTGCGAGGACGAGGAGTTGCAGAAGCTCAAGAAGGAACAGGTGCAGACGAAGAAGAAGGAGGGCAGAATGGTGAACATGGTTCTAGCCCGAAGCCCCAGCTCCAGCTCTATGAGCTCGACCGAGAGTGCGCTGCAGCACATGGAGGAGGCAGGCGACGACGGGCCGCCGGTGAAGAGCACTACGCAGAAGGCGCTGGATGCGCTGGAAGACCCAAAGAGCCTGAAGAAGATTTTGAGGCCTGGACACAAGGAGGGCGAGAGTTCGAAGGCAGCTACGACTGCCGCAAGCTGATGATGAACTGGGCACGGATGGTTTCCTGTATTTGCTTTCACGGCCGATTTGATACCTTTGCGTTTGGTCTTTTCTCTTCGCGGCGTATTTGATTTACCATATTCGCGTACCTAGTCTTAATGCTATTGCTCGAGTCAGAGGCAGAATCGTTCGCAAGATCGACTATATTTGACTACTCGGCCAATCTATCTTGTAACGTACAACCAAGTAAAAGGTCGATCTTGTATTTTGAAAGAATGTCCAATGACCAGCCCAACCCCTGTCGACGTGGGACGGCAGCCTGCGTTCGCCGTAGCTAGCAATCGCCGTCTAAACCCTGCGCTGCCTTCCCGGCCAGCCAGGCCATCCGCCGCCCGGGTTAGGACGGGGGAAGTCGGACGCCATGTTGGTCTCCTTCTGACGGTCACCGAAGTAGGTGTTGGCGGGGAACTTGTTCTGGCTGACGCAGTTGGGGTTGCACTTGTCGAGGGGGCCGGACTTGCCGCGGGTGAGATCAAGGACATACGTGTCTGCCTTGCAATCGGGAAGGACTGGGGTTTCACAAGTCAGCAGAGTTACTAAAAACTATGTCTCGGTTCAACATTAGCAATAAAAGAAATCAAAAGATTACCCTTGAGGTCGTTGAAGGGGATGGTGTTGAGAAAACAGTCCTTGAACTGGGTCGAGTAGGCCGTGTAGAGACCGTTATAGTTCCAGTACCAGTTCCTGGTATCTTGTCAGAAAAGAAACTTGCGACCGGAGCTACGCCAAAGAGGTACATACTTGTTGGTGTTGTCAGCGGCACATCCCATCATGATGAGGGCGCCAGCGGGACCGGTCTTGACGAGCTCAGACTTGGTGTCTGGGCAGCAGTAGGTCTTGACCTCTGCCGTGGCAGTGCAGTTGAGGGACGCCAGAGCGCCGGAGGCGGCAGCTGCGAGAATGAGAGAGTACTTCATGCTGAATGTTTTCTTTCAAGTGAATGCTAGATGTTGTAGTTCTGTTTCGCTGCTTGGTCTACGTTTATCCATCGACTGTGGTCGTCCAGGAGGCTTTTATATCCGACAAACAAACATCGCATTCGTCCATCTGCCCCATTCTGTCTGTGCAACATCCACATCATCGTCCACCGGGACTGAGGCTAGACCATCGTGATGTCAAGGGCATCCCCACAGTAAGGAAGCAAACCAGCACGTGGGCGCGCGGATAACTGCCGAGTTGCGGAGATTTAGCCTGTTGTGCCGTACCCAAACGAGAAACACGTTCTGCTGGTCCCAGGCGGTGCGGAGGAGGCTGCCAACGACGTTCTGGGAAACCCCAGTACGAATTTGGAAAATTTGGGAAATGCACCACCGCCAAGACGGTTGCAATAGACCGGGGCCGGTTATTCTAACAGCAGCCATCTGCCGTCGCTTGTGATTAACTGCCATCCGCCGGCCAGCCAACCACAGGTTACACTGTACCTAGTTTAGTGCGAATCCTCGTGATATAGAACGCGGGGGCGGGCGCTGTTGGTTCTCGCGAGTTGGCCATTTGGATGATCTTCATTGATTAGGACCGGCTATTTGGTGGTGGCGCGACTCAAGTTGTAAGGTTTCCAGTTCTGGTTGCTGGTTATCCAACGGTTGACTGCATCTGCTAACGACACCCCAAGTTAGTTTAATCTATGAGCTGTAAGTATTGGATTTCGATATTGGGTTCTATTAATATTGTTCTATAGCAAAAGGGCCGTATTAGAGGGTTGTTACAAACTATAACCGAGAAGTAAGGTAGCGCAGAGGCGAAAGAGAAACATCCAACCTACCCCTCATCGACGTGAACAACACTCCCACGAAACCTGGGGAAGGAAGAGTCCATGTCGATAACTGATCATTGTTTGGCCAAGCCATTAGGCTTTTTGCCTGAAATATGAAATAGACGACCGAAGCATAGCGTGACCCGGATTCTTAAAGCTTCAATAACGAGGTACATCTTAACCCCATTTTGGGTTGACAATAAATATTGGTCCTCATTTGGTACCGGTATACTCGTTTTAACAAAGAGGAGTCTGGTTAGCCTTCCTATTCTCTGGGGTTTCAGGTAAACCCAAGCTGCAATGTATGCTATCTGCTAGCTAATACTTCAAAGGTTTTTACTTTTCGAGTGATGTTTCTGAATTAGCTAGACTATTTTTTCGATAAAGCAAAACCGTACGGTATTTTGATTGCAATCTAGACCGAGAAGTCCAATTCCATGTCTTCAGGCTCACGGTTTCAGGCTGAAGCCATCGAACCATCGCAAATCCCCATGATTCACATCTTGGCGCCGGAATCTGTGGTAGAATTGAAGCTAGGCCGGAGTACTACACACTCGTGGGAATTGGTCGTGCCAATTCCAACAACGGCATTGACTTGCAGCATCCTTTGGCCCGTTCTCTAACCCCTTAACCAGGGCATCGCAAGATATGATATTTTTATCTTCCTTGGTGCTGGACGTGCCGCCCCTCCTTACGGTAGGTAGCTATTCAGGCGTCAAATGGTCGACGAAGAACAGCAAACTCCACCACAATGAAGGCGATATAGCCGACCAACATTAAGCCGCCAACCAAGCGATCGAACCGGCCCCCAGTCCACACGGTTCCCGTAAATAGCAAAGTGGATACCCAGAGCACAGCCAGCTCCGCAAGCTCCACGCCTCCAGCACCACCCAGCTCTCCATCAGTGCCAACCATGACAATACCCAGGCAGAGCGTCAACAGGAAAATGTTGCTTCCGACGGTGTTGGCGACAAGAATTCCGCCGTGACCACGATTGCCGCTAAGGACGGCCACGAACTTCTCCGGCAGCGTGGTTCCGATGGCGAGCACGACAATGCCGAACAGGACCTCAGATGCGCCCAGGGCATCGGCTACGTTAGTCGCCGCGGTGGAGAGAACGTAGCCCGACAAGCAAATGGCGATAAAACCAGCAAAGAGCCAGCCGATGTGGTACGCCAGGCCACGCCTGCGTCGAGCAAAGTTCTCGGATGGACGGAGCAGAGGCTGCTGCTCCCCGTTGGGTCTGCGACGGCGGTTGCTGCTGCTAGCGGACGAGGCAGACTCGGCATCACTTTCGTCATCGCTGGAACTGTCGCTGTCGCTGTCTGATCCCTCGGGCGCAACAACGATTCCACGGTTGATGGCCCATCCTACAGAGCCAATATATACAACGAAGGCGACTATGAGGACGATGCCCACCACCCGCCAGAGGTCCTGTCGAGGGAAGTAAGTTGCGGGAATGATGATGGTGGTCACGGCGAGGAGAAGTGCAGAGTAGATATGCGCGCTGCCATCATATTGCAATGCTTCCCCCTTCCGGCGGAAAAGAAGACCAAGCGAAAATGCGCCGAGGATGTTTGAGATGGCGGAGCCGACAATGTTACCCAGGGCCAGAGGAGCGCGGCCTTGGGCCAGGGCGCTGACGACCACTGCGAGCTGTGAGCGCGTCAGCTATGAGAAACCCAGTAGATGCCAGGGTGTTGCCCCAATTCAGCGACCGGAGTGTACGGGTCTTTTTACCTCTTCCCATTCGGCGCCGGCGGTGAGGAGTGCGATAAGCGTGTCCGGGACGCCGGTGCGCCGCGCAACGATGGCCGTGTGGTCAACGAACTTGTCGGCGCCCGCCTCAAGGAGGAATAGCGTGCTTATGAAGACAGCCGCGTTGTAGGCCACCACGCTGCCGTCGATCATCTTGTCGATGGGGAGCTAGTTGATTGATGACTAAATGGCCTTGGTGACGAGTTTCGGATTAGGTGAGAACACTACTGGAGATTATTCGTCCCGAGACGACTCCGAAGCGATGCTTAAGAGTTGAAATATAGACAGCCACTATCAAGGTCAATGCCAGATGTATATTGAAGCGCGTCGGAGGTTGACGCGGTCTCTAAAATTGAAAACTTAGTGCGGCATCCTGACTCGCGGGATTGCGTGGGTAACTGAGGTGCTCACTTATTACCACTGTGTTGTAGTATGAGCAGATTAAGGGATCTTGGCTTTGGCCCGGCCCAGGGCTGAAAGAAGGTATTTTGTTTGAATGCCGATCACCGTTTCTTACTGTCTGCTTGTTTTTTTTTGACAGTTCTCGGTTGTTCGCCCGGATCGTCATAAACTGACTTTATTGTCCCAATACGCCCTTGCCAGCAGTTCCATCAGAGGTTTCAAAGAGTAAACTTTCCCATCCCGTAACTGAATTACCTACCTAGCTTGGTATGAAATAACGGTCAAAGAAGCAAATTCGTGGCTGCTGCACCTGGAATCTGTCTGAGTTGCACCTAAGCTCTTCACTGTCTGTTACCACCACCAAAATCATCGCCCTCTCCTAGGGCTCCTTGGCATGTGATGTGATTTTTCCGTGCTGTTTTACATTGTGTCAGCTGCACCGAGGATTCCGGACATCGTTCTCGGGCTGTTGGGTATTGGTGGTTATGGTCAATGGCGAGACACCTGTAAGGCTTTATGCAAGTTATTAAAGCGCTATAATATGGGGATAGGCCTATAACAGCCTTGCGACGGGCTGGAGGGGAAACCCCAGTGGTAGCTCTGTGGATTATAGTGCCTAACCACCATAATAAGGGTCCTAGCGGTTGTGGGGTTAGCGTGGAATGTTAAAAACAACAATTGAGCTTGTATGAAGGGACTGAAGTGCTGAACCGGAATTTGAGAATCATTGCAAACAAGTATGAAAAAGTGAACAGATCTAAGGCTTGGAGTGCAGAGTGAAATGCACCTAGTTGTGGAAGTGCATATAGGACTCACGTGAAACGATGAATGATGCAGGGACTTTTTGCCGAGGTTCAACTGTTGGCTGCTGTACGAATTAGACGACATCGTCATTCGTCCCCTTCGCCGACACAGCAACATTCATCAACAGACACCATCATACCAAAAACAACGTACATACTTCTGCACAGTATGAGCGAACAATCCAAGGGTGCGGCAGCCTTTGACGGCTTACCGCAGTCTGTCAGCGAGCTTACGGCCCTCCCCTGGTGTCACACCCTCCTGTCCGCTCCCAACACCATAACATTCATCCCCCCTGCCCGCGATCCAGAGAACGCCAACCCTCACGATAGATTCTTTGGCAGAACAATAAACAGTTCATCCGGCATACCTGCCTGTATTTGTTTCTATAAGGAGGCACCCGGCAGATCAGTCATCAACGAAGTCTCAGTCCTCTTCGCACTCTCTCAAGGAGTTGATGGTTACCCCCACATTGCCCACGGCGGCCTCGTGGCAGTACTCATCGACGAAGTACTTGGCATTTTGATCCAACGAAACATGAACACCGACAGGGACAGTCCGGTTTTCTCCATGAACACCGTGACTGCCTCAATGAACATCAAGTACCTCAAACCAGTCGCGACACCAGACGTCGTCCTTGGTGTGGGCCGAATCAAGGAGATCAAAGGGAAACGGCTACTTCTAAGTGCTGTGATCAAAGACGCGTCCGGGACGGAGCTTGCGACATGTGAATCGCTCTGGATTGCCATTCCGAGGCAGAAGATATAGTTTTTCAGTGCCATTTTCTGTTAAGGGTTCGATGTAGATGATACTTTTCTATCAAGCCACCAAGTTATGAAGCGCAGCGAGGAGCATGTATTATATGCGAGTAATAGTCTTCAGTGAGCCATATACTTGCTGTCAGTTTACACTAGAATGTTTACGAAAATGTCATATCACGGACGTAGTCACAAAAACCAAGATGGACCTTGAATGAAGCAACCCAGACTGCTATATTGTAAATGAAAAGCTAAGAAGACCTAAATCAAACAATTCCAAACATTCAACAATGGTCGACCAATACAGAAGCACGCTCATAAGACCCAGTCATGATACAAAGGAAACAGAAGACTTGTAAGCCAATGTGCATTTAAGCACTGGTGGCATCGCGGACCTTGGACTCGAAGCTGCCATCCTTGAAGGGAACGTTGGCCTTTCCGAAGTCAGCATCCTGGAGACCCTTCTTGGCAGCCTCGGGCATGGCGTCCCAGTCGGAGATGGGGTAAGTCTTTCCCTTGGTATCGGTGAACTGGAGCTCGTGGTTGGTGGGGAAGGTCGTGAAGTATTCAACCTTGGGGCTGTTGCCGTTCATCTTGGGAGCACCGCTGACCTTGCTGTAGCCGTTGTGAGAAGAGGCGCCGGCGGCGGTGATCTTGGGAGTGGCGGCAGCCGGGTCGTCGACGCAGATGACAATGTTCTCCCAGTCGTGGCGGTGGCCTCCAGCAACGTTGCCGCTGGTGGGGTGGTCCTTGGGGAAGTACCAGGCGTACATGACGCAAGTCTTGCCGTCAACGACGCCGGCGCGGGCGTAAGTCTGACCCTTGCTCTGGTCTCTGCAGCCGCCGGTGGCGCTGCCGGAATCCTGAAGGCCACCGCTGATGTCGCCGTTATCAGCGACAGCAGGGTACGGCTGGCAGCCATGGGCGATGTGGAGAAGAGGGTTGAAGGTCTCGATGAGCTTGCCGTTGCCACCTGTCTGGATACGTTGAGCAACTGGGCTGATCGAGTCGTGGGGGACAGAGGCACGAGACTGAAGTTTCTCGGTGGGAGCAGCAGAAACGGCAGCGGCCAGAGCCAGGACGGTGGAGATCTTGAAGGAAACCATTTTGAATGAAGGAGATTTGTTTTTTTGGATGATCAAGAAGTGAGTGTAGTTTAGCTTTGAGAAGCGAATGAAGATATGAGTCTGAGCGAATGTGAATGAAACTGTTGTGATTGTGAGTGATGATTAGATCTGTTGAAGCAGAAGACATTCTCATCCTTTATAGAGATTATCATGATGACTTCTTTCTATTTCGGTCTGGTCTTGACTCCGAAATCCGTCGATATTCTCTTGGATTCAATAGCTTCAGTTTCATCTTGAAGACCAACAATCAAAAAACTTGTCGTGTTCTCGTGTAGAATAATGGGCTTGGACATGTCAAAGGCCATGAATAGTCACGAGACCCTCTTTCTTGGACAAAAGTGTGATAGCAAACGACAAACAGCTATATTGAAGCTGTATCTTCCTGACACTAGAGGACCCGTAACTGAGGCGGTGGATTCAGGGGGGACGAAAGATTTCAAAGCACCGAGCAAGTCTTACAGGCCAGAGCTTCTGGCACTTCCATGGTTGACAGCTTGGCACAGGACATTGTTGCTCTCGACGCCCGAACACCCCCAAAGCCGAGCAGGTCCGCGCTCTTCAAATTGATTGAATGCTAGGGTTGTTGAACATATTACCTTGTTTCGGTCAATCTTGGCCATATTTGGGTGTTATAAGGCTGAACACGTCCAGCCCTACCTGTCAATGCCTGTCTTGGCACCCGAAGCCCTATGGCTGACCCACAAAAAGCCAACCTTACAACCTGGTTAGGCTGAAGAGTTCACCCTTGATCAAGTGGTCTAGACTGACAGCATGATGGACCTTTAGTTGGTCCACTTGATATTACTCTATTTTAAGGGTCTAATGGCATGAGAGAATCGCTTACAGGGGCATCAAAAACAGGATTTCCTTCCAAATATCTACAAAGCTGTCTTGACAATGTAAGGTAGCTAACTGCGGCATGATGTCACCCAAACGAAGAGTGTCCTCCTGCCAAGTTGGCATTTTCTTTACTGTCACCCGCCGTTCATTGCTTCTCTATGTTATGGTGCGTTTAAAGGTACCTCATTTTTGGCCCCTTTATCGAAGCAAAAAATCATCCTGTTTCATCGGACCTTTCGGCCCCGCGCCTGAAACGGCTTACTTGAGCAGTGGGCAGTGAGGATGGAGAACTGTGACTGACTCGGGAAAATAGTCTAGACCGTAACGACGAAAATAAACTCGCTAGAGGTGGTCGGGTTCGGGAATAGCCATTGACATCGCTAAGGGAGCTCTCAAACGTGGGACAGGGGTCCTTGGCGATCATGTATGTGCGACCAATAACCCCCAACCCTTAGACAATGACCCTCACACCCGAGCGCTAATGGCTTCTCCTAAAACCCGATCTCGGCTTGCATCATACTCAACTAATGGTCATGAGATTCAAGATCTTGCGGCTCCCACTTACGGCCAGTTTACGGACTCCGAGTGTATAGCCCCCTAAGCGTGGACTCAGCGAACCCGTTCAGGCCGGCTTCTGGCCGAGAAGACCGAGTGCCAAGGAATTTCAGGACGCAAGAACTACTAAGACCTGGCAGTTAATCGCATTCAATGCAGTTGGATCTTGGCATCTCCTGGCTCTGGATGATACCCTCCCCGTCTCTCAAACTGGAAGTCACAGGCTTGCTGCGGATATCGGTCCATAGCTGAATCACGTAGAGGTGCTAGATGGCCTCGACTCCTTCGATCTTTTTGTTCCGAATCAAACACCAATGGAAAAGCTTTCTATAGCTTGGCATGCCTCATACTTATTCAGAGGGAAAACCATGCTTGTCAAGATACTAGAAGCATAAACACGGCTGTCACTCGGTATTGTTGCGGTCCTGCCGAAATTATTGGATAGTGTGGTGTGGCAACCCGCGGCTGTCATACGCTTGACTTGAGATACACCCAAGAAAACGTTCATCGCATGCCTCGTTTCATAAAAACGAAGTTCATAATTTGGCGCAGCACATCGCAAGGAATTGTAGGCTTTCGCCTTTAGTATCAAGCTGTCACTCACTTAAACATGTTTCTCTCTTCAGCACCATTTTCTTTCCCTTTCTGGGCGAACAGCTCACTTAGCGGTTTCAAGGCCCAATCCGGAATTACTCTTTTGAAGAAACCAGTTCCCCGTGCGTCTTTAGCTTCTTTTGTAAAGCAATACGTGGGGACCTTGAAATTCTTTTCCAATGTAGTGGTTCGAGTCTACAAATAGTGCCAATCCACCTACATACGTGACCATAATGACAGCTTTCTTCAAATAGATTGCGACACCAGCGAGCTAAGAAGTGATGGAGCTTTGGCGCGCGCGGTAGTCTAACAACTTGACATGGTACTGTTTACTCACATCAGATATACGCGAAACCAGATATGCAAGCCGTCTGTTGGGCTGTGCGGCGCTAATTGTACAAAAACCAATGGGAGAGCTTCCCGGACTTGCCATCCAGTTTTGGATAGATCTGCAAGTTAACCGTAGTGGGTTGTGGCGGGTAGCTGTACTTAAGACGAGAGTAGGCTGACTGACTGGATGCAACTGCAGGCGGTAGTTTCCATAACTGAACACTTCGGCGCAGTACTTTCTTGGGATGAAACTGAGGTCGTCTGTTTAGCAAACCGTCATCCGAACCATTCACGAACTTCCTCATGTTTTAGCAGCTGAGTCGTGGTGGAGTTTTTGTGGGCGAGAACCGGCACAGAACGCTCAGAATGGGAAAAGTGGTGTTGTTGGTTGGAAGAACTAACTAACTGGCTAGAGGGCTGTGGAGGCTGGCTAAGACCAGTGGTGGCGGCCGTCAGCCCACGTGACGGGCCGGCGAGGCCTGCTACCTACACCCCCTCTCAGACTCCTTAGCGAAAAAGCAGTAGAATAATAGGAAATATAGGAAAAGTCCCAAATCCTCTAAATCCGAGGAGTTCTCAACTATTAGAAAACTCGGTTAATTACCGGTTAAACCTAGCTAATAGGAGGCTGTGAAATCCTCCGAATCCCGAAGTCTTAATATCAATAGTCTTATAGTCTTAAAATCCCCCTCTTAATCCAATCCCTCCGCTATGCCTAACAAACGAACGAATTCCTTGTGTTTAACCGTAACTAGTAGCTTCGTAAGTCTATCGGCAGCTATATCAACGCCTTTGATAAGTCGGAGTTCGATGCTTTTCGTAGTATAAACCTCCTATATAATCTATTTATATCGGACGTCGATATAGCAGGTTCGTGCCTTGTTAAGTAGGTTTATAACGTTATCGTAGCCGTTAGTATTGTTAGTAAATATAATAGTAGGCATAGTAATAGGTTTGCTAAGTAGTTAGGAAAGGCAACGTCTAATCTACTTTATAGTAATTACTATAGGTATATGTTGGAACGGTAGGTAGGAATCTCGTAGATAGTACGATATCCTTATAACAGGGTATTAGAGTAAGGGAACTTGTACTTATGAAGTAGGGCTTTAATAGTAAAGAATGTATAGGCTTATATTGAAGCTGAGTTGGTTGAGGAACTAATAGCTAGCTAAGAGAGAGAATTAGGCTAGTTATATAGTAGTATAACGTTGCCTATAATAGCTAATATAGGAAGCTATAAGCTAGGTTTAGTATACGTAAGTATATACGTCAACTAGCTTATAAAGCAGCTTATAAATCAGACTAGAATCTTCTTTAACTAAATAGACTTTTAGATAAGGTTAAAGAGAGTATTCCATAGGGATCTGAATGTCATATGTTTAAACTAGCAAGCAGCCATTCTTAGCTAGTTACTTTTGTAAGTCCTACTAAGTCTTAGATAAGACTAAATAGGATAAATAAGTAAAATAGAAGTATAATATACTTATACTTCTAACAGTATAAGATTGATAAATTTAGCCTCCGTAGTATTTAAAGTTACGAAAGTCTGTTTCTTTAACTTCTAAGCAATCGGCATACTAGCAAGGAAGACGACGTAACTACCTATCGAGACTCGTAATAGCTTATTATTAGCGAAAGAAGTATTTATAATAGCGTAAAGCCTTAACTTATTAATCGTAAGGATGCCTCTAAGTATAATACCGAGATAAACGGTGCCTTTAAGGTATCGGAATAAGTACTTAATAGTACGAAGATAGGCTTTAGAAGGCCTTGAATTCGCTTGTAATAATTTACTAACGGTATAGGCTATGTCAACGCGAGTTCTAGCCACTAGGAAGTTAAGGCAGCCGGTTTATTCGATATAAAGTTGTTATTCGTTAAGCAAGTACTCGTTCTTATCCTAGGTAATAGGCAGATCGTTAGTAGTCGCTATAAGCGTCTTAATAGCGTTTAAACTATTAAAGTCGAATCGTTAAAGTACTGCTTTTACATACTTAGCTTAGGAAACGAAAATCTTACCGGCAGCCCTGTCGCGTTCAATCTAGAAACCGAGAAAATCGGTAGCCTTGCCGAGGTCTTTAAGAGAACAGACCTTCTCGAGGAGACGACGAACTTCTATTATAACTTGCTTATTAGGAGCGGCGATAGCGTTATCGTCGACGTATATAAGAACGTACGCTTTAATCTTATAGTTAACGAAGAGACAAACCTCCCTATTAATAGTAGTAAAGCTAATTCGTTCTATTTTACCTTTAATAAGTCGAAACTACTAAAATAGTAATTTTCTTAATCTATAAAATGCTTTATAAAGTAGCTAAACCTTATTATCTATAGTAGCATAGCTAGCAGGGGGCTAGACGTATACCTTAACCCCCTTCTAGAATCGAGGCGGCTAGGAAGGTAGTATCGAAATTATATACTTTATATTTAAGATCGAGAAGTATGATAACTGCGAAGAAAAGGTAGGTTGCGGTAGTAGAGGTAATTATAGCGTAAACCTTTTATAATAACTAGTTACCTTTCTCGTAGTTTTTATAAACTATATATCAAGCCTTATAGCGTACGATTTCGTTGTTTTTATTAGTTTTAATATTATATACCTACTTGCTAGGCAGGACTTTAGCATTACGTAGTAGGTAAACGACTTCGTAAACCCCCTTTTCCGTAAATTAAGTTATCTCTCGTTCGAAGGCTTGTTCCTACTAAGGCTACTATAGGCTCTTCTACGCCTTATAATAAGACTTCGGGATTACTACGCCGTTAGGTAAGACTTTCGAAAAGGCAGTAGTAGAAAGTATGCTAAGAGAAAATTAATAAAAAGTTAGTAAAGCTAGAATATTAGCAGATAGGAAGGTCTTTTTAGTATAAGAGCGTATGCTACTAGCGGCTCGGTAGTAACTAGGTAGTCGCTAGGCTAAGGCGCGGCGAGGTCGAGAGGACTCTGCCGGTTAACTCGTTACTTCCTTAACAATCGTAGAAAGGGAATCAAGGTCTTAGTAATCAGTTTCTATTATTTCTACAAAAGCGACGAATTCGTTATTATTTAATTCGTTAGTAATACTATTACGAGGTATAGCAGTAGTCTCTAACAGGTTCTCTAGTAGCGGAGACATAAGATATATATTAGTAGGTATTATCGCTTTTTTAACGATAGTCTTATCTAGTTTAGGATTACTAGTTACGGGTTTTTTACTTTTAATAGGCTTCTAATAGATAGTATACTAGATAATAATATCTAGTTTAATAAACATAGTATTATGTTTAATTTTATTAATATTAGGTATGCTAGTAGTTAGAGGCAATACTGTCTTATACGGTTCCTTACGAAATCGAATATCTCTATAGCGAATAACCTCCTTTCGATTAGGCAGGTAAACGTAGTAAATATAGCTACGAAGAGAACCGTAACCGACGAGGAATCCCTTGATTGCTCGTAGTTCTATCTTAGCAAAGCGTATAGGGCGTCGAGGGCCCTTCTTATATACGTAGGCAGCATAGCTAAACGTTCGGAGATGTTTAATATAGGGGGCCTTACGTTTAGCAGCCAAGTTTAGCTCTCTTGCTATGATCTCGTAAAGGCTTAAGTTACCCTTAGAGGGTATAGGCAAGAGGTTAAGAATCTAAGTTACCGAATCGATACTATAATCCTATAGTTCCTCTAGAAGGGATATGTTAATTAGCTATATCTAGGCGCTTTCGACGATAGTACGACTAGCATGCTTAATAATACCGTTTATAAAAAGCATATAGGTAATAGTCGTATTATAGCAAGTACCTTCGAAGTAGGGGTTGTTAAAAACCTTGATTAGCTCGGGAGTATTATTAGAAACCTAAACCTTAGGCTTGAGGCTGGTAAGACTGTAGAATTTAGTATCCTATTTCTTAATAGCTGCTAGGATAGTAGCAAACTTATAGTTAGGTAGAAAAACAACCTAGTAGTAACTACTATACTTATCTATAAGGTATAAAACCTAACGGTTCCCTTTTATTAATAAGGGAAGAATACTAACGAGATCAAGGTAAATTTTATCGCTAATACTTATAAGTAGAAGTAGTTAGTCTCGACTAATCCGTTTAGTAGATTTGCTAAGATAGCAAGACTTATAGAAGAAAGCGTTAATTTCCGACGTTATAAACCGAATGCTAACACGGCGGCAAGCCTTTATAATACGTAATAGGTAGGCGTAAACTAGCCGGCGGTATATTAGTTTAAGAGACGGTCGCTAGGTAGCCTAGAAGGCGGCGAGGCTGATAGCAATATCTCGAAGTACGTAATTTCTAGTATTATAAGTCTTAACGACGTAGACGTTAGAAACCTAATAAACTTTAGTAAGGGAAGTATGTTATGTTACGTATATAAGGCTTAAGGTTTGCTAATTATATTCTACGTAATTACGACGAAGTTTTCTAAGGCTTAGTAAGTTAGCTAGGCTAGAAGGGTTATACTTAACGTTATAAAGTATCTAATTATAAATAACGTCAGGGTTAGTAGGGTCTTAAGTCTAGAAGAAGACGGTGCCTATGCTAAGTAACCAGACTAGGGCGCCGGAAGCAAAAGTAGAAAGTATTAAATCGCTTTTTTTAGCGTACTTAACGAAATATCGTAAGTTATTAAAGGTTAAAGTAGTATAACTAGAATCGAGAACGATATCGTCTCGGGTAATAAGGTTATCGCAAGCAGTAGTAAAAACTGCTAGGCTAGCGATAGAGGCTAAGGCAGACTAACTTAAGATAGCAGGTAACGCTCTAACAACAGTCTAGCAGGTGCTATTAACAGAAGTAGGCTAATCCTAGCGGTAGCGATCGCTATATATATACTTTCTCGCTTTTTTAATTAACTTATCCTAGTTAACGTAGTATAGAGGGATAAGATTAAGGTAGGCGATATAGTACTTCGTAGTCTTGTAATTATAGTTATAATAGTCGTACTTCTTCTTTTCTTTAGAGGTAGTAATAATAGAGGTAACGGTAGTAGTAACGGCTAGAGAGGCAGGACCCCTACTGCTAGCAGACTTGCTTCTAGGTATATTACGAATAGTAGCATAACTACGCTTTTGATCCTCGTCTTAGGCAAGTATATAAATCGTATTAACTACCTTATTCTACGTAGGATAGGTAGCGCCCTTCGATATAAAATACTTATACGTATCGGGAAGTCGGTCCTTAAAGAAGTTAAGGAGGAAAATAGCAAGGAAGGAGTCTAGCAGACGACTATAAATAGTCTTAATACGCTTTTTAAGGTAGTAATAGCGATTAAAAGCATCGTAAAAAGTCTTATAATCGTTAGCGGTAGTCTTAGCAAACTCGTTAACAAGGGTAGCTATAGCGTCTTATAAGATTCTCGGAATATACTTCTCGAGCGCCTGCTATAATTCGTAAAGGTTTCTATCGTCAACCTAACCCGCTATGCAGAGTCTATTAAGAACCGATTCGCTAGCGTTTATAAGGAGACTATACGTAATATTACGGTTTTTTCTCTATTCCTCTATAGCGATAAGGTTAGCAAGGCGAGGGACGTTAGTCTCGAGGAATATCTCGAAGTCGTATCCTCGCAAGGTCGCTATAATAAGTATACGCTATATATTCTAGTTAGATTTACCTTTCAAGCGAGGAAGAAGCGTAAAGACGGTCTTAAAGTCGTTTTAAGACATCTTAAAGTAAAAAATAAGGGTATTATAATAGTGCGGGATAGACTTATAGTCGTACCTCGATCATAGGCGTTTCTCCGAGGCCGTAGCTTTAGAGGCATGTCTGTACGTTAGATAGCTTACTTTCGCTACTACCTACGCGTGCTGTTAGATTGTATAGGAGGGAGAATCTTGCGTAAGAATACGAGAAATAGGTAGAATTATAAGATCCGACCGTAGAAATACGGTAAATCGAAGGGAAGAATAAATACTCATAGAAGATATAAGAAACTGATAGGCTAGTTTGAAAAACCGAAGCTAAAATAGTTAAATTCTCGTGAAAAACGAGGAATCGAAGTAAAAGTTGTAGTTATAGTGTGGTTCCGTAGTGTTCGTGAAAACCAGTAGGTTATGGTAGTCGGTCGCGTGCTACGTGATATTCGTGCGCGCCAGGCAGCCAATATCGCGTCAGAAAGTAAAATTCGTTAGCGAAGAGGAAGGAAAGAAAGCAAGAAAATCGTATAGAAGGGTAAATAAAGCAAATAAAATCGCAAAAATTCGTAAATTAATAGAAAATTGACAGACGAGTAGAATAATAGGTAAAACGACGTTATTCCGAAAGAATAACGCTAGGCTTATAACCTGTAGGCGAGAACCGGCATAGAACGCTCAGAATGGGGAAAGTGGTGTTGTTGGTTGGAAGAACTAACTAACTGGCTAGAGGGCTGTGGAGGCTGGCTAAGACCAGTGGTGGCGGCCGTCAGCCCACGTGACGGGCCGGCGAGGCCTGCCACCCACAGTTTTCGTCTTATTTTTATTCTCGTCATGGCACAGAGGCGTCCTCAAGGGCTTACAGGGGTTTCAGTAGCAGCACAGAGTAGTCCCATATAATGGATAAGAAGTAAATGGTATTTGTATTATCTCTTTAAAGGTCTAGGCGTGTTGTGTGGACAACGTGATGCCTGTCGGTATCTAAATTAAGAATATGAAACTGTAGCGACTCCCCAACTATTTAAAGGGACGGGAGCACCCTCTTCTCAGTGAAAGCCCAGAGAAGAGGAGAGTAGTCAGAGCACCAGGCGTTACCGGTGTAGTAAGTGCTTCTCTTGCCCTGGAGAGCGTACAAGTTCCTGTAGAAGCCTGCCTTGACAGCTTCCGGAGACACATGGAGCTGCAAGTTGGCGTGTTCCTCCCAGGCGCTGAACTGAGCCTCGCTTGTCGCCGTGCCATTAACAGCAGCACTGATGCGGCTGACAGCGCCAGTGACCAGACCCTGGGCTTTGGCAGAGTCAGCCTCGCCGATAACCTTGACGGTCTGGTATCCGGGGACGCCAACTGTCTCGAGACGCCAGACGAAAGGCGTCTGAGGAAGGAAAGCAGGGGCAGTGACATCGACGTTGAGGAAGTTGGTCAAGGATGGGAGGCCGCTGTTGGATACAACACCAACGTAGTACGGCACATGCTGCCACTGGTCGAAGATGGAGGTCTCCGACTCGTTAAGGTCAAATGGCTGGAGGTTCTTGGTAGTGGGGGGGATGGTAATAAGAAGCTTCTTGGCCTTGATGAGCTTTCTGCCGTTGGCGGTCTTGACAACAGCCTTAACTCCAGCATCGGTACGCTCGGAGGCGACAACAGTGCTTGAGTACAGGACATCCTTTCCGAGGAAAGCTCCAGCCTTGTCGTACACTTCCTGGTTGCCACCGGGAGCGTAGAGGTAGCCGGATGAGAGACCAAGGAGATGAGCCTGACCAAAGTTCTGAAGGACATAGAGGGTGGGTGTCTCCAACAGGTTGCCAACGCCGTGAGCGAAGATCCAAACAACTTGCACAACATCGGTCAGGTTGTGCTTGGCGACGAATTGACCAAAGGGCAGCAGCAGGTCCTCAGGAACATTCTCGGGGATGTCATAGGCACCCTCAGCGAGGAAGTCGAAGTTCAGCGTCGCAAACAAGTAGTTCGCGAGAGGTCCGACCAGCTGGTTGGGGTCAACGGCGGTGGCGTTGGGAATGGCAAAGCCAGTCTTGAAATCAACAACCCTGCTCGGGAAGGGAGACAAGACAGATGCGTTCAAGGCGACGTCGAAACGCTTGAAGAATTCGGTGGTCTGGTCGTTCTGGATAAAGGCCTGCACACCGTAATCGATGGGGGCCCCCGTGGCGGGGTCACGGAAGGTGTTGACATGTCCTCCGAGCTTGTCCGCTTGTTCCACAACGGCGACGGTCTTGTTCTGGTCACGCAGACGAACAGCCGCATAGGTTCCCGTAGCACCACCGCCGACAATGAGTACGTCGCGTTGAATGATGTCTTCGGGTGCAAAGGCAGACTCGTCGTAGCAACCTAGCCCAACTGGCGAGGCATTGATTAATGAAGCGCTCAATGCGCAGAGCGACAAAATAGAAGAGCGCATAGTGAAAAAGTGATGACCTTAAAAGAGTGACAGTATGACCAAAAGAGCGACTGGTGGATTACTGTCCAAAGATGCTGCACATTATGCAGTGGTGGTCACAGGCGCTATATACATGTTGCAATAGCGAACATGGACGTCACATACGCCCGGTTCTCCGGTTCGGTGGTTCGAAGCCAGGGCCAATTACCAAGGAGATTTATAGTTTAGAGTGTCAGTGAAGTTAAATTGATTAAACGCGAGTCGCGGGTGTGGACTGAGCCCCTTTCCCTTGTTAGGGTATCCACGAAAGTAACCGCTTTACACTAACAAATGTCTTCAGAGTCGCAACTTGAAAGTAGTGAAAGCGCTGGTATCATCCTCGTGGTCCTCATTTACTGGGTATTGCAACGGCTCCACCGATGGCTATGTAAGACGGCCTCCAAAGCTCGGCTTCAAAATATTATTTGAAGTCGCAAGAGCCCTGACGCCCGCACCAACTCCATAGAACAATGGGATCTTGTTTACTTTTGAACGGAAATTTGCAAGACTCCGGTGCAATTGACTCTCGACGGATCCTACGTTGTACGCAGACACAAGCCGTCATATGTCCGGCCCAGCCGGTAGTTTGCTGGCGAGGGGCAAGGATCATGTTGGCATGGTGTCAGCTAAAGTTTGCTTGTTTGATTATTCTTCTTTACTTCAGTAGAGTAAAGTGGCAGCCAAGAAATCAGCCACTGCTACCAAACTTTGCGCCTTTGCACGGCATTATGAGTAACAGGGCTGTGCAAACATTATTCAAGCATTAACTGTATTTGCTGCCGGGCAATAAAGTCCGATCACGTCAGCCTGCCCTCCTCTAGCGCATCAACATGTTATTTCAGCCCTTTCTTCTTGGGATTTCTGTAATGTCAACATCGCTTACACGGAAGTAAGTTCGTTCTAATCGACGCTAACTCAAAATGTCAGATCGTGTCGAATGTCAACAATGACGCATGGGAATTGTTGGAATGTATGCCGTACACAATCGCATACTACCTGCATATGTTGCTGCGGCGCTTTTCACTGTTACACGTTAACACGGATAATGCTTGGTACCCGCGTCTCACCGTGGCAGATCAACACCAAGGCCAAGCAAGCCAGCGGCAGGTAACTGAGGATAACGTTAGACGGCACCCACGTCCTCGACACTATTTTCGACCTGACCTTGGACTTGAAGCACTTCTTTTACAGTCAACATAATAGAAAGTAGCCAGTGAGATGATTAATTTCTTAGCCTTCATGACGATAGTCAACCTGGGACTTCGAGCAACCACTGTATCTGTGCATTTATTGTTTCAAAGAGCGCGACAACAAGTATGAAAAGAGAAGTGGCATTTTGAGTCAGGGAGCTACGAAATATTGCGTGAGCTCAACATGAACAGCGAAAAGCATTATCACCGTGGAAATTTCAACGGACTCGCAGTGTTGATTAATCCTTGTACAATGTGTTGCTATATCTCTCTTCATACACGAACCGAACAGCAACCAGTCTAGATCAGCACCCGGCTCATCTTCTCGATAGCAGCACCAGCTAGTCCACATCCAATAACAACCCAAGCCCACTTGTTCTTCACCTGGCTAGCATCGGGCCAGAAAGAATTGTTTTGCTGGCGATATCGATCGAGGTCCACCTTCTTCTCAGGGTTGTCCCTCAAGTAGCGGGACTCTTGACTGCTCTCGTTTTCCTTATCACCGCCCACGTACCTCAGGAAAAAGTAGTTCGCCAGAGGGCCGAGGAGCTCGATAGGATGCAGCATACCAGTTGCGTACAACAAAAGCGGGAAAGAAAAGTGAATCAGCGTATCGCCGAGGTAGCTACGACATGTTAGCATCATGGTCTGATTGAGGTCCGGTCCACATCATGTAATTAGATCATTAACTTACTTCGGGTGCCTAACGAGGCTCCAAACCCCATCCCTGCACATGCTGTTCTCATTCACGTTCTCTTTCTTGAAACGGGCCAACTGCCAGTCGGCCAAGACCTCAAGGGCGAAACCTGCACTGAAGAGACCAACGGCAGCCGCGTTCATCCATTCGGGAGATGCGGCCAACAGTGTGCCTACGGTTTGATGACGGAAGGTAATGGCAAAAGGCAATGTGATGACCGTTTGAAACAAAGCTTCAGGTAGGTAAACTGTAAAAAAGGCCTTATTCCAGAATCCAGGATCCTTTTTGGCGCCTTCATACCGTGGCTCATCGTGGCCGCGTTGAACGGAGCGCTCGGCAATGCGGTAAAAAAGGCGTCCTCCCCAGAGGGTGACACCGGTCAAAAGCAAAGTTTCGGTTCTATTCATGGTCTGCCAGATTGACGAAAGCGAAGCCCCGCGGACTAGGTGCCGGCCGACCGCCGACCACCACACGTTCGCAACCTGACCTGTAGGCCATAGCCAATCTTTCGTCTCCAATCGATCGGTAGCGCGGCCTGCGACATAGGCGGCGACCGCCAGCCCTGAATGCAATTTCAATGAGGGGATGATGGTGTTTTTTAGAATGCCCACATCTAACGGTGCGGACCCGACAGGATGGTGACGTCGGGCTGGGTCCGGGGCTCGAGCCGAGTACGAAGGCCCCGGACCGTATGGAGCGGTCGTCATCGGTGCACTCGCCATGCTCACACGAACAAAATTGTGCTATCCTTGGGGAAGTGAAGTTGGTTCACAGGAAGCATTGTCAATGAGACATGGAAAACATGGAGATTAATGATTTCTTATGGATTTGAAATTTACCTTGGTAATTCGAGTATGACGTGAATGTTTCAATGCCCAGCCTGTATCTTCAGTGGAATTGACGGCCATATGACGCGAGACGGGGTAATTTTGGCCCAGCGGATGTGGTTCGCTAGGGATGGCACTGGCAAGGATTACACCTCACCGATGTTGTACTCTGAAATGCCTCTCAAGGTCGATTGAAAGTATACTTTTTTGAAGAAAAAGGCTGGTAAGTAAACAATGACAGCTCTCATATTTCTGGCCCCCGGATGTGTTTATTTAATAAGACCAAGGGACTAATGGACCTGCTTAGAGCGCGTTGGTGACGGACAGGGCGGTATTTCTCACGTCCATTGAAGCTGTGACAGTACTTCGGCCAGCCAAACTATCAGTGCTATGACCTAAAGCCTCAAGCATTGGAGTAGGATTCCGACTGAATCGCAGCTTCGATTAGATGCTAACATGAAGACAGAAGATTGGATGCTGCCTGTGTTCACCATCACCAGCTTGGCAGATGCGGTTTAGGAGATGCAATATGGGCCAATTTCAAGGTGCATACTAACCAGATGTGATGGCCTATCCTAATCGTCGTCCATGAGGCCCCTATTAGCAACTGTTTTACAATGCTACATAAAACCGTAAATGCAAGAGGATATTCTCCAGTTCTATCGGAATACAACAAAGTTTGCACTGACGCCGATCAAATCGCAGAAAGGAGACAAGCTTTTGGGTCATATTATGATGATCATCAGTTCGTATTCATAGGTGGCTCAGCGATCTGGGCTGACCAAGACACCTGGACGATCCTCTTAGCGCACTGACAAGTACTTTTGCATACAATTAGAGTGCCACGGCTTAACCATCGATTGACATGAATATCTACGCGTAGGTTCTTGGGGGAGGGATTTTTTATTTTCCATTTTTTGGGGCAAAATTCTGCGAAACTCAGGTGTCCGGCCTCGGCAGAGTAAAAAGAATTTACAACATCTTATCCGTCCTCCCATTTCGCAAACTTGGGACACAACCAACTCAAACTTTGCAACACTTACTATGCTGCTCAGGCTTGCCTTTGGCTTGAAATCATTCATTTCAGATTGAACGGTTATTGACATCGGATCATATGATGGGATGTAGCCCTTTTGGGTGTTCCGTCAGAGCTTACAGCGGTTGCTCCCCTACGATTAGGAGCTACAGAAAAGGGTAAACCTGTATTAAAGATTTAGCGTCCGTTAACGCGCCCCGTCTTGGAGCTGAACTTGAAAAAACATTCATTTTCGTTCACTAACGTAGCTGCAAGTTGGTGTTTTTGGTGTTAACATGTTTATAGTTCATTAGCCCACAGATCAACGCCGAGAACAATCAGACTTGGAGTATCAGTGCCCAGTCATAGAAGGTTCGAAACCTTCACGATACGAATCTGAACTCACATATAGGTTCAGTGAGAAGTAACAAATCTTTAAAGACACACTTTGACAGGGTCAATAGCCTAAAGAATCAAGTTCTACCTATAGATTTAACAATCAGAAGCCTGTATTCCGCCGATATGCCTTGCATTCAAGGCTGTTAATTAGGCTCTCGAATACTTGTTCTTTTCTTAGCAACATTCGGGTTTCCCTAAGCTTACTACTTCAGAGCATCCCTAACTACCTTATTATGTATCCTTTTCTCCTCCCAGAGGTATGAAACGCAGCAAGCATTTCTGTCCAAGTGGTCGAGCAGATATGATTTGGTCATGTGGCCTCATAGCTTCCGGCGCCATGGAAACGTCAGGAACCGTGGTGAAATTTGCGTAAATGGCCCGTAGCAACAGTTTCATCTCAGCAAGTGCAAGGCTATAGGGTGCATGAGAGTAAGTCAAGGTACGTTTTCATACGAGAGTTGTCTGGGTGCACGTACTGTTTGCCAACGCAACCTCTGCCGCCGTGAGAGAAAGCAAACATGAGCCTCTTTCTCTCATTTTCTCCAGTTGATAACATCCAGCGTTCGGGGTCGAAGGTATCAGGACGCAGGAAAACAGTGTCATTGTAGCGATGGACAGAGTATGCCTGGCTACTCACAATGCTTCCTTCAGGAATGAAGAATTCGTCGATGTGTTTGCCCCCACGAGGAACGACGCGTGGCAAGGACATTGGAATTGCAGGAAAGCAACGAAGTCCTTCCTGCACAACAGCGTCTAAATACGACAACTTATCGAATGAAATGTTAGGGTTATCTCGGATCTCCCTCTGGAGCTTTTGCTGGATAGTCAAAGAAGACGGCTGTGAGAGCTCCCACATTAGGAAGCACAGCGAATCTCCTGTCGTATCAATGCCTGCCACCATGTGGTCCATGCACTCAGCGGCGATGTCGGTGCTATCCAACTGGTTAACGCTGCTGCTACTTTGGGTCTTATCTTGGAGGCGATTCAGAAGAGTAAATGGTGCTGGATCGATCTTGGAGGCGGCGCCGATAACAAAATTCTGAGCCAGAGGAGTCGTTCGTGAATCAAGAAAAAGATCCAACAATTTTGAGAAGTATTGGTAAAAGATTGGGTAATGATGCTGAATGAGACGATCTGTCTTGTTAGCACACGGAGTGAAAGGGCTCATTTTTAGTTACCTACTTCGCAAGCTGTCGTCGCTAGTGACTTGGTGCATCATCTCTGTATCTTCCTCCCTCTGCAGACTATTGCTACCATACGGATGGAACAGATGATGAGTGATACAGTCACATGCATATGAATGAAGCGTCATCTGTCAAGATGAATTAACTGTTGATATCGGACTATCATGCTTGGCAACATTTAACTTACGTAGATGTCCATACTTGTTTTCGAGTGGTTTCTGCATTGCCTGACAAATTCTCTCGCTTTTTCCTCGATGCCATTCATTGCTGTAGGCTTGAGAACGTTACTGTTTGCGTAACGGTCGGCAATGATGCGCTTGCGCTTTGCGTGCTAAACCGGAATCATCAGCCGTATCCCTCTCGAATGAAAACTTACGAACTTACGTCACCCTTTTCAAGAGTCGAAAACATCGTCCTAATCAAGAATTAAATTAGCTTTTCTAGGTTAAGAGTGAATGTTTGTTTACGCACCGGCGCTGGAAGACCCTGAACAAGTTGTAAAAGGGGGATTTGTCGTAACCGCTTCCAAGCGATCCATAAATCTCTTTCACGGCCTCATAGGATGTGAAAGAAACTTCATTTGGGGCTATTCTAACGACAGGGCCATACTTGAGATGCAGAGAGTGGATGTAAAGCGTCCTATTGGCGTTGAACTCGTGCCATCTCAGGATGAAAGGCGTAAGTCTAGAATAGAATGGGCCGGGGAGCTTCCATAACGGTGACGAGATGCACCGTGCTAGATAAAATATCAACAAGGCGGTAAGTGCTGCAGCTCCAAATAAAGGGCTGAAAAACATTTTTGCAAGTTTCCGGCTCCCAGTGTTAAACAAGTGAGCAGAGAGTATAGACCGCTCCCTCCTTTACACAAGAGAAAGCATGGGAGATATATATACTACTTGTTCCCCGTGGGGTTGGACTTAGTAAAAATGGGGGCAGATAAGAATCGGCTCACAAGACGAATCAAAACTCCCTTGTGCACATTGTCGGCAATCAATGTTGAGTCATGGTATGCTTACCCCGCTGAGTCCGGTGAATCCCAACTCCTAATGTTAAGAATTGGCGACTTCCGAACCGATGGTTTCTGTCATAATCGGAAATGAACTAACCCTTCAGCAAAGCTGCCCCGCAGTTGATCGCTAATGTTAAGTAGACCCGACGATACGGATCTGCCGATGTGGCTGTTGTTCCCCTTATGTTAAGCGTAACCGCAAGCTTGTCTCCATGTCTCCACTCCAATCACCCAATACCTGCTCCGTTGTTGATGCCCATTGCTTATCATCTAGCCTAGCCTGTTTTCAGTCAAATTTGTGCATAAAGTGCAGCGTCGCAATATCAGCGATTGCGATCCAATGGCAGTTGCACGTAAGATAGAGCAAACAAATATAACTTAACCATACTTAGCAATTAACAAGAGCACGTAGTAACGGCTTTACAGGTACAGGGCCTATTCAGCTCCGTATCTGTTATTATTGAGACCACGTTGATGACGTATGGCTCGAGACGTTTTCTTGGTCCATTCTCTGTCTGATGATCATAACCAACTTACAGAATTGAATGTGTCCTTCAGCGAAGCAATCATATTATTCACTTCCGTTACGGTATTTGTGTCTTTATACATTCAATACTCCATGCAGCTAGTCTAGTTCCTGCTATATATAGGTTGAGTCTGATGAGTCAAAAGTCATGTATTCTACCACTAGAGCTGCTTCCATTCTTCATTGCACTTCCTATTGTCGTAACTAAGACCTTACACTAACAACAAACATAGTCCTAAAGTTATTCCATCATCAAGAATATAGATCTCCATACATAGGGCGCTGGGACAAGAATATGAGCCAGTTCCATACCTGGTTCAAAGCTTTAAGTTATCTCCCCAGTCTCACACTCCATGGCCCTCTTGTGAATCTAAAGATGGAATGGGGTTTGAGATTGAGTAAGGCTTTTCGCTATCTAACCAGAAGGGGCCAAGTGTTTGAGTAGTAATATTCGTATTTGAGTCTGTAACACCCTCTTTCCAATAGCCTGATCATCAGGACTGAACGTTGGATATGCGTTTTGTAAATACAAGTTACTTTACCGATACGCAAAAGATCAGGGTGTTGAAGGTGAGAATGACCCTAGCCTTAACTGGGACTGAAGCTTATGCGGCCAGTGACCCTCACCCCTGGTAGCTCAGTGGAGAAGCGTAGCAGCGGAGGATTCAACCTGCGGCGCAGATAACAAATAGTGTGATCCAGGCCACGCGTAAACATTCAGGATTGCGACATTAAATTTACCTGACGACGCCTGCAACACGTGCGTGCTCTCGTTGTCTTCAGGTTCTGCTATAGAAAGACAGCAGGCTCTGTGATCCCATAATATACGCGCAGCGTAACTCAATAATGCCAATCTGGGCACTGCCGAAACTCACTGCATCGTATCTTGCTGGTCTCCTATTAGGAACCCGTAACCCCCGCCACTGATCATCGAAAATGGCTGGGCTGTTCGCAGTCACAGTGTGGTTTCAGCTGCTGGCTTTGATAGCCGCTTCAACTAAGATCTTGACATGGGAAGATCAGAAGTTACTCCAGGCCGGCGATGCCGGGCACGCCAAGTCGAATTGTCCAAAGAATCGAGTCATCCGCCAAAACAATACCTTCTGTGACGCCGGATCAACCCTTTGGACAGGGACCATCGAGATCGGGACAGAGGATAGAAACATGTTCTTCAGTAAGTCGATGTATAGATTCAAGTTGTTGACGGACAATGAGCGATAACACATTTGCATTCATGCAGTGTATTTCGAAAGTCTCAATGAGTCGGAAACAGATCCCTTGATCATATGGCTAAACGGGTTTGTGGTACCAGTGCGAAAACTGTTACTGACATTACTGACAATCCTGCAGAGGGCCTGGGGCGTCATCTATGGCCGGAGCATTCTACGAGATTGGCCCATGCCTTGTGAATTCAGAGATCAATACCACATCTAGAAATTTACTAAGCTGGACCGCCGTTGCTAATATGATTTTCGTCGAGTATGTCTCCCATAGCACTCCCTCATCTTATTCCCCTGAATGCTACTGATAAACATTAGTCAACCCATCGGCGTGGGCTTTTCTCGCTCTGATGACCCTGCCCTTTGGGCTAACAACCTTGCCGAAGCCGCAATCGATTTTGAAAGGTTCCTCAGCGGCTTATTCGATCTATTTCCCCATCTTGATGACGGCAAGCGCGAATTTCATTTGGCGGGCGAATCTTTCGCAGGCCATTACATCCCGCACTTCATCTCCGCTATGCGATGGAATCTGTCTTCTGTCATCCTCGTTGATCCATACATCGACTCGGCTGAGAGCGCGTTGGGGATGTATAAACACTGCTGCGTGGGCAAGAGTCCTCACCCTGGCTTGAATGAAACTGCTTGCCACGCCATTAGTAAGGAACTCCATGCTTGCAAGATGGAAGGCCAAAAATGCCGTTCAACATATGACATCGGAGCATGCGAAAAAGCTGCCGAAACATGCTTTTTGACGATCATGACTTGGTTTGATAACGGGCCTGAAGGGCACCCGACACACAATCCCTTTGATGACAGACTTGATTGTAATAACCCAGCAAAGTTAGGTATGTGTGGTGGGCTAGGTAACTCAATCCCTTTCCGCACATCATGATATCACGCTCAACGACTGAAAACTTAGGGTTGGACGAAGTAACAACTTTTCTCAATAGCACAGAAGTTAAGTGCGCTTTGGGTCAGCCGGACATCAATTACTCTGCCATAAACTATGAATTCAACGCAAGATGGACACGCCAACCGGAAATTAACCTGCCCTCCACCCGCGAGTTAAGCCACCTCCTAGCTGATAAAGGAATCCCAATCCTTGTAATCAACGGAAACAACGATATAATAGGGCAAGTTTTGTAGCATTGCTGATAAAAGACTGATGACTTTATTAATCTGATTAACAGGAATACCGAAGGGATGATTAAGATTTTGGATGACCTGCAGTGGGATGGTCGTAATCGCTATCGCGAGCAGAAGTTGGTGCCGTGGTGGTTTGAACATGTACAGGGGACAAGGACTCGTGGGGGTGACTTCAAGCAGTTTGACAAACTCGCTTTGGTTACGGTCAACGAAGCTGGACATATGGCTGTAGCTGACCAGCGAAAAGGTACCTTGGAGATCTTAAAACGTTGGACATCTAAATCATCTCTGGAGAGCTAAGGATGACTGGATGGGTGAATTGCACAAACAATAGGGACGCTACAGCCTGCCGCCAAAAAACCCCCCATCATTACAATCAAGAACAAATTGAAGCCGATTTCGTAGAGAACTATTTATTAGTTCAATACAGCTGTAGATGCAAACTTAGGTACAAAGATATAACCGCACTAGCCATTTTAAAATGATGGAGACGGCGACACGGCCTTTAACAAGACCGATGCCGATTCCGTAATATCCGCCGACATGAATGCGCAGAGTAGATAGACCCGGAAAACACGGTAATGAGGCGCTATACTTGGTGGTTTTCAAAAACCTTACTTTACCTAGCTCCCCAATTATCCCCAATTATGGCAATGCTGGCTGAGTACGGCAGTTTTCGCCGAAACTGGAACCCAGAACCTGGGCGCTGAGCGTATCATAGCAAGCGTTCAATTACGCTGTAGAATCTTAACATGTTGGGACCCTTGTCCCGACACGTCGTTTTATACGCAGCTTGTACCGCCATTTCACGTTTATAATCCAAGTAAAGATTCTTTAGCTACTCTTTTTTAAATAAAAAATGAGCATCCAAAAAGACGAAACAGATAACCCAGGTTGCTGCGGCTAAGACAGTCTTGTCCACCAAAGATGGCATCGCTGCCTCTTGAGCTCATTGAGCAAATCTGCTCGCTATTGTGCTTCCACTGCCAAAAGTCTGGCTTTTTTCTTGACGCGGAGTCGAAAGATGTGCGGTCAGCTAAGACGACATTATCATCCTTTTGCCTAGTATCAAGGCGTGTTTGCGCCGTCGCACAGCCGTTCCTATTCCACTACTACTCTGCAGGCAATCTGCCTAGTGCACACAACTGCAACGCCAGAGCAGATACTCGAGATGTGCGTCGTCGAGGTGACAAACTCCCAGAATTCCTGTGCAGCATAATACGGCGGCCCGACTTAGCGTCGCATGTCAAAATTCTCCAGCTAGTTGAAACGGACGATATCAGTGGATTGACACCAAATCTTGCGCCTTTCCTCATTACAGCGAGCGAGCAAGTCGGTACCGCGCACCTCGCGCCGACACAAGAGCACCTTCAGGCCGAAATCTGGTCCAAGTCAAGACAACATGAGGGGCTAAGAATCGTTAAAAGACGGGGTGTTCATCACTGGCTCGAAGAGATGGCTATCCTCTTATCACCCAACGTTCAGATGATTATTCTAGCTCGTGACAGCTATTGTCGATATGAACACATCAGGGAGAGCGGCATCACGTTAGCCTCTCTCGAAGCAATTGCTCTAATGGGAGCCAAAAAGAACCAGCATGTTTACGAGGCTAGAGATTTGTTCACTGCGGCCCCAAACCTCCGAACTCTATACTCGATAAAGTGTAGCTTATTCGACGGCCTGAGCCCCTGGGCCCTCAGTAAACCATGGATGTTGAGCCTGAAAAATCTACGGAGGCTAGTCATAGCCGACATTGGCTTTGAGGATCTTGGCCTTTTGGTGGCCTGCTGCCCAGAATTACGGGAATTGGAATTGGCGGCTACCAACATCCACCGAACCGGTGGGATCAATTACTGGGATGTTTCCAAGCTGTTACAGACGCTGCAACCTGTACGACACCAGCTTCGGAAACTGCGTTTTACTCATTCTCCGAGCCAGCGGCCTGGTATGGAACAGGTGCCACGGGTGAATGGGGCATCTTGGTCTTTTCGAGAATTTACTCAGCTCGAAGAGCTTGAGTTTGACCAGACAGTGATCAGTTGCCGTCCAAGGCCTACAAATACAGGCGGAGATACTGGCTTCAAAGTGCCTATGATCGAGATTTTGCCGCCATCAATCAAGATTCTGCACTTTTTATGCGTGAACAAGGATTTTATGAAAGATTTTCAAAGTCTCTTCGTAGAAACCAGCCATTTCTTGCCACTCTTGAAGAGTGTTCGAGTGAGTCTGCCGCATGGTATAGATAAACGAGACTTTGGTTATAATTACATAGACGAAATCACATCGTCTTTCGAGATAGCTGGGGTTAGAATCCAGTGGGACTCGGGTGATGTTGGGGAGAGACCTTCGACATCAACTGCTGGCGGCACCATGCTTGGGTCTAGGCTGATACCATATTTTCCAATCAAACCAGTAATTAAGAGCATGGAGATGCTCTCATTATAATGTCTTAAAAAGTATTTCAATTTAGCGTAGACCAAGGAGCCTCGCGTCAAACAGGCACAGAAATGGACAATGTAACTAAAATTTCACTCAGTTGATGAAAATGGGTTTCAGGGTGAAGTAGTTTCCAGGTTACGATGAGTTACCTACATCTCATGATTGTTCTGAAAAGTACCTTTGCAAAGAGCTGATGTGGAAGAAGAGTAAAATTATAGAGTTTTTCAACAAACCGCCGACAATCATATTCTTGCTTTGTGCTACTAGTGATTATCGAGCAAATTATCAAGTCAAAGTCCTTCAGTGTGCTAGGACCGAGGGGTTACTGAAACCTCTAGGCGTGGACCATCGAGACGTTACAAGAGGCGAATTGAGCGTTGCACATGAATTTCAGGTGTGACCGATATTACTTGGTTAGAGCATTTGTTTGTCCACTTGCGGCGGAGTTGCCGGTGTGAGTGTAGGCATCCGAGACAGACATGTGTCATCAGCCGGCCACTGAAATGGCTTGCAGGAAATAATCAAGTCTCTTGCATGACCTATTTCACCGACTGAATTTTGAATTTTGCTATAGATCAGCGCCAAACCTAAGATGTGACTGTGGCTTTCCACCTGTAACAGGTCCGCCCTGATGTCTTGACATTAAGAGAGCCAGTCATTCGTAGGCGATTTTGGTTTGTGTCTCTCTTGAGGTTCGTAGCATATATGGCAAGAAGGGCCTGGTGGTTGATGAACAACAATGATTTGAAGACATGGCTGTTCTGGATCATTAGGCTCGGGTGCGTCGAGTACTAATCTGGAAAACAATGTCCTTTGTGTACGAGGCTTTAGCAGTCAAGATATATTCGAGCAGAGACCACGTCAAGACTAAGGCTAGAATAGGCGGGTTTCTTGAAGACTCGAGGTACACTACAATTTCAGGGGTAGCGGCGGTAGTCAGGTGGCTCAGACACTCGTGGCATATAGCAGGGGAGGGATAAAGGTTTCACTTGTACAGCCATTGTTACGATACATCATTGACTCGATCGGTTTGAAGCTGGGAAGAACGATAGTTGTCAATGCAGTATCCAGATGCGGAAGCAAGCTCCAAAAAACAAAACCCCGTTTTCTTGGGCGACACCATGGAGTACGTTTGGTCAGTCAGAATAGTCAAATCGATAATGAATGCGGCACAAGTTTTCCATCTGCAGACGAGAATAAAAAAGAATACCGGCCAGCTATATGGCGAATTTCACCGAAAAGAAACCAGACAAGGATGAATAAACAAGCTGGCTATTGACAGAAGGAATTTGCCCGAAGTTCAGTTGACTACCTAAGTGTACGGGAAAGTCATCGCACCGTTCACGGTACAGTGGCCACATCCCACTCAAAATGCTCTTGGTAGCGTACACGCAATGTGAGAGGTACTCGAACCCCACGGACACAACATCCACAGCTCTGGGACTTTTCCCTTGCGTTTGGTGACCTAGGATAACGAGATTTTGTAGCTCTTGTACGACAAAGCTCGTCAAGCGTTTGGAGCTGAGGATGTCATCGCACGCTTTCTATACTTTTGCTGTTCGCATAAGATACTCAATCCGGTCCCAGTTTTGCAATTTTAGCGAGTGACAAAGACATTGATGCAGCACATACTGACATCAAACCCTTGGTAGATTTACCAAACACTTTTGTAAGTGTATCTATAGTCGAAGATTCTCAGATTCACAGATAGCTAGAATCATGTAGAAGCAGTTACTCGTCCAAACTCTCGAACTTCTCGGATCCGTGCAACATAAGGTGCCATCCCGCTTTGCCAGAGAAGAATCTCTGGCTCTGGTATGAGTCTCATGCGTCTTCCACAAACCACCATGCCAAGTACCACCTCAATGTCTACTACGCCACGTGGATAGTAGGATGAGAAGCTTTCTCTTGTCTCCCAGGTTGACGGTATTTATTTGCTTCTAATCGATACCAATATAATTGATCGTGACTAAATATATACAGTAACAGGTTCTAACTCAACAGAGACTGTATTCCAACACAGACTCACCAGTAACAAATAAGCTAACGCTCTGCCACCATCCATAGAACTAGATGCGATAAAAAGCAAAGAGTAACATCGCACGCAAGGGTAAACCACCAGGAAATCAAGCCAACGGGTGCCACCTTCCACTCTTTCGTCGATCGGGGTACTTATCTATCATCTTGTTCAACCATCAAGATACCAACACTCGACTTGTTCTCCCGTAAAAGTCAGTACGACCCTTCACTCGGTCCCCAAAGGCTACACGCTGGCGAAATAGGAATGCCCAATCGATCCGTGTGCCTCGGAAACCTACGTACGGAACCCCCTCAGCACAACGAAGGCTGTTCGCCTCCGGATCCAAGACCCAAGTTTTCGGCGAAACCCTGATCGCAATAGAAACAAAAGCCCCGGTATGCTATTACTCCATGACACGAAAGTAAACCCAACCATCTCATCATTTCTTTTTTTTTCATAAAACGAGATATTAAAGAAACGGATTCGCATTCTTTTTCACCCCAAATCTTCAGTTAACCTATCCCGACCTCGAGGGCTCTAACTTTGTTTACGCAGTGGCACACAATCGCATTTTGATCACAGAATCACCAACTGCCTCATGATGCTCGACAATCTCAGATCATTTATACCTAACATATTTTCAGGGAATCTAGCAGCAAAACCAAGAAAGTCGAAGGATTTTAAACCGGAAAGGGATTCGCGTATTTCAAGCACCACTGCTTCAGTCCAGAATGTCCAAATCAACACGAGTCCGCTACCAGTAGAGCCACAGGAATGCGACGTATTCGCAGAAGATCGGGTATCTGCTTGCGCCAGTGACGAAGAGTACCCTGTTGGCATAAAATTGAGTCTGATAGTGCTGGCATTGTGCCTCAGTGTATTCGTGATGGCTCTCGGTAGGGAAATGTTGATGAAATACACGTACCAAACTCCACCTAACGAACCAACTAGACAACTCTATCATCTCAACCGCAATACCTCGCATAACCGACGAGTTCAACAGTTTGAATGATGTGGGCTGGTACGGAAGCGCATATCTTCTTACTACCGCATCTCTCCAGTTACTCTACGGCAAGCTTTACACAATATTCAGCATCAAGTCCATTTACCTTATTGCCATCACTCTGTTCGAACTGGGAAGTCTGGTTTGCGGTATCTCACCAAACAGTACTTCCCTTATTCTCGGTCGCGCTGTCGCAGGCCTCGGGGGTGCTGGAATCTATGTCGGGTCCCTCATCGTTCTCACTCATACCGTACCTCTCAAGAAGCGCCCAGTTTACACAAGTCTTGTCAGCAGCATGTGGGGGGTCTCATCTGTTGCCGGTCCATTGCTCGGGGGTCTATTGACTGACAGCCTTTCCTGGCGATGGTGCTTCTACATAAACCTTCCAATCGTTAGTTACCATTTTCCCATTTTGGTTGTTTTCATTACTAACCTTAGCTAGGGGGCTATCACTGTTCTGGTGATCATGCTCTACTTTCCCGATCCCATGCGCAGCGCAACTCAACGGACATGGCGCTCATGCTTCATATGTATTGACCCCTTAGGCAACCTTCTTTTCATGCCAGCCATAATCTGCCTCTTACTGGCTCTTCATTGGGGAGGCATCAGATACCCTTGGACCTCACCTCATGTTATGGGCCTTCTTGTCGCTTTCGCCACGGCAATTTCAGCGTTCGTCTATCTGCAATGTTACAGCGAGGACCACGCTATGGTTCCACTACGTATTTTCACACAGCGCAGTGTCTGGTCATCTTCCTTTTACGCCTTCAACCTAGGCGCTGCCTATCTCCTATCCGTTTACTTCCTCCCTATCTGGTTCCAAACCGTCAAAGGCGCCTCTGCTGTCACTTCAGGAGTCATGAACCTGCCATTGCTCGTTGCCGTCGTCATTTTTTCTATCGTGGCAGGCACATTCGTCACTGCTTGGGGATATTATGCCCCTTGGATGATTCTGGGTTCTGTTCTCATGGCTGTCGGTTATGGTCTTATTTCCACATTCAACTCGAACACCCCATCGTGTCTTTTGGTCGGATTCCAAATCCTTGCTGGCGCCGGCGTTGGGGTAGGCATGCAGCAGCCCTTGATGGCTGTACAGGTTGTGCTGGACCCGGCAGACTTGCCCACAGGGACTGCGATCATTGTTTTCATGCAGACCATTGGCGGTGCAATTTTCGTTGCCGTTGGACAGATGGCGTTTACCAACAACCTCCTCGAGGGCATAGTGCAGTATGTTCCCGACATGGATCCACATATTATTATGGCTTCTGGTGTGACAGCCATCCGCCAAACCATTGCTCCGGAGTTGTTGCCTGGCATCACTCACGCCTACAATAGTGGCCTGGCGAAAACGTTTCTGATCAGTGCTATAACGGCATCAGCGACTATCATCGGGTCGCTTTGTGTCGAATGGAAGAGCATCAAGGGCAAGAATGTGCACATCAGCATGGCGTGATACAGGTGGCTTTATCTCGGGACACATCATGTCTCTGTTCCTAGTTCTTATGAGTTTTAGTGGTTTTGCAATTGCTCCTCATCTCCTTTTTCTGAGACAACTGTGTACTTTATTGATTTATCAGTTGCTTAGAACATGCATAAGTGACGTGACACAGTCTGGACTCGATTTTGTTTTGTTCATTTCAAAGTGACTTGAGTGGCTTTGCATAATTGGAGTATTTTTGATTATGTAGACTTTTAGTGGTCCAGCATGTGCCAAGTTTCAGCAACCGGTAGTTCCACGTGGCTCTGTAAGCACTATATGCATGTCATCTTCTTATTCCGGAATCTGACAGCCTTAAACTTGGAAATTTGGATTTATTCAACTACCGTCATCCAACTTAGTTGCCCTCGGCGATGCGGATGACCATCTTCTTCCCGCGGACTGTACCGTTCTGTAACCCCTTCAACGCGCCCGAAAGACCTTCCAAACCCTTTACCACCTCGAAAGGATGGGCCTTCATCCAACCCTTCTTCAAGCCATCAGCGAACAATCTTGCCCAAATCAGTCCAAAGAGAGTTCCTTCACCCTCCTCCTCGTGCACGTGGCCAACACTGGTAACCACAACCTCAACGCTCTTGTCAATCGCACCGTAGTCTCGTCCAGGCAACACGGTAGTAACCCTTGGCTTGAAGCCAGTGCCTTCCTCAGGCGGTCCCTGAATAGCCTTTCCAAGCATTTCGAATGATCCGTTCTCACTCACGCAGTCAAAGGCTCTGAAACACCGTGATCCGGTGCCCTTGATGACCTCCTTCAACTTCTCCGCAAGCTTATCCTGGCTCTCAAACTGGGTGTAGTCCACGAACACATCGCCGGCTTTCTCATCCAACAAAGGCGTCACAAAGGAACTGTTCTTGCTACCGACAGCAATGAGAGGATGCACACCCGCCTTCTTGGCGAGTTTCACACCAAACGCGCCGATAGCCGAGCTGATACCGTAGATGATGACAGGCATCTTGCTCTCCCGGTTCCGGTCCCATGGTGACGGTACCTCAAGCGAGTGGAACAATGCTGTGGCAGCCGTGTACGCGGCCAAGGGCACCGTCGCGGCCTCCTCGACACTCACGCTGTTGGGAATGTGGAAAGTGGAGAAGGCCGGGAGGATGGCGTACTCTGCGAAACTTCCATGTGGAGAGCGCATAACATGGAACCCAGCTACCCGGTCGCCCTTTGCGAATTCAAAGACTTCAGAGCCGACCTTCTCGACAATGCCGGCGACATCGTCACCAGAGTTTGAAGCGCCATCAAGCCAGGCGGGCAGTTTCCAGTCCTTGGGGTTTGTACCTGATCGTGTCAGTTTTTATTCGCTATGCAGTGACAGATGGGAAGGGGAGTACCTGAGACGAGGACTTTGACGAGGAGCTCGCCCGGACCGGGCTCCGGAATGGGAGAGTCCTTGACGTTGACGGTAATGTCTGGATTGACGATCGCTTCCTTCATTTTGTCTGTAATTTTTTTTTAATATACTACCTATGGGTAATTATGCAGGCAGATTTGAGAATTTCAAAACGAAAAGTAGCGAGATAATTTTCACTGATATACTAAAACAAATCAAAAGTTGACAGGGTGACGTCAAGACTCTTGAAGACGAGATTCCCGCTCTTCTTTATACTTCTATGCAATACCCAGCCAGCCCAGAAACAGGTGGTTCCATTCTTCTCCACGGACGAGCGCGCACTCAAAACCGTCCCAAGACGTATCTTGGCTTGATTCTCCAATTGAATTTCTTCAACGAACGTTCGCCTCGGCGAGAGAAACAAGGCCCGGGCGAACCACAAATCGGGCCCGCCCAGAGTATAGACCCCGCCCCCTTGGTGATCGCACTATCACATCAGATGAGTGGATATGTGAAGCTGATTATAAATCCGGCCCCCCCTACGACCCTCCGATTTGTTGCTAATCTCAAGTGTCAACATTATGCAACCTACTGCGTCCAGCAACTATTTTATGATAACTATCGGCTGCGGACTTTGGGATCTAGCTGCGGACTTTGTAATCTTAGGTTGAGGATAATCGGGGAAGAGGAGGATCCGTAGAGAGTACTACCGAATGAGAACTCCAAGACAGGCACTAAACGTATCGGGCTCGGATTCGCGATTGGTCTTCAGCAGGGGCCCAAACCCGAGCCTTCCGGCAACCGCGGTACATTTCAAGCTAACAGCTGCGGTCAAGCTTACAAGTATAGGGTTGTTCGTCATTTGAGAGTTTCATAGTATGGAGTTGGCTGGTCGTCGCGGCGTTAGGTTATACGATGGCACATTAAGACACAGCGCTTCGAATAGTAGTATTCAATCTTCTAGAGATCCCATCAAAACCTTGCAGATTGACTTCAAAGGTTTCGGGCTGTGTTTTTATCAAATTTTCAACATGTTTAATACTGTGTGATTTAAGTAGACTTGAGTCCCAGTTCCCCAACAATGCTTTTGTTGGCTGCTCCCAAATAATGATGCAGACCCAGTTCTAAAGGGATTGTTATAGTTCGAGAAACTACTCCTAGCCCACCTTCTTCACACTGCTTCTGGCTAATTGTTCTCAAAAAGTCTTGGGGTTCAAGACTTTCGCACTCATTGTTGGCAAGAATATACTTACACCGGCCTGCAAGTCTAAATAACTTAGGTGGATGCGTACATGGACGTAAAAGCTACCTTCAAGCCACTGGCTGGCAAACATACTTTAAATTCGTCGGGTTTTCTGGCACAGACTTTGTGAGGGCATTGTCCTTGTCCACGACTTCCATTCACAAGACAATGTCATGTTTACACGCTAACATTCATATCTGGAAACAGCCCATCGTATCACTAAGCCAACATCGGTTTGCTTTATACAAGTGTTGCCAACCTGCTAAAGCACTTGTCCAAGTCTTCGTCCGAATTATTTTGAAATGTTTGTTCCCCGAGTAACAGTCAGCTGGGAGCCAGCATAGCAGCTGCACTACTAGCCACCACGAACGGTGATGGACCTCTGAAACATACTAATAGGTCCCACGATCCAGAAGACAGTTCACAATCTGAATGTAAGGTTCCATTAGCCTTCCAGCTTCCAGGCAAAACATTTATCGAGTTTTTGAATTCGGACTAGAGGTGGCATACGATGTACGCAGCTAGTGAAGGGTGGCGCCGGCTCGGCATTCAGCATTTTCTGTGCACTGATCCAAATTCCCATTGCGGTACGGTAGTGCCGTGCGGCTGGAATCTAGAGGCCCTTGAGGCTTTCAACAACGGCATTTCGGCATCTTGATTGAGAAAGGACCGGCTGGGTCTCTGGAAGGCTGGCGTTTAACTAAAAGGCTTAATTACTCTAGCCATCACACTATCACGATTGCGAGCCAACCTCCTTGCTTAGCGTCAGGCGTTCAGTGAAAATGAGAAGCTGTAGGACTCCGGACAGAAATGTAACATAAATCACTCGACGAAGCTGCAGCACGATCCACAAACGTCTTCTTCACTGACATTCAATCGGCCTCAAACCACCCTCCACCCCCTTTGTCGGACCCTTACCAACAAGATGCGATCTTCAAACTCTCCTTTCCTATATTCCCTTACCATTCTGGCGGTTTTCGCATTCTCAGCAACTGCAAAAAGCACGCCGCCTACGAGACCACAGTCCCAAATCTACTCCTTCGCACTGGAAGAACGTCAACCTTGTCCGGACAACAGCACCACGAGCACGTGCCCGACCCAGACAGATATAACTCCATGCGGAGACGGGACGTGGTGCTATCTCAACTACCAATGCGGCACCTTCCTCGGCCGGAAAGGCTGCTGCCAGGACATCTTCTCGGGCGATAAGAAGATCGCGCCCAACAAGTCGTGCACCGCGAAACTGGATGTCCTCGGCAACATGACGTGGTCTCCGGTAACCGGGAACGTCTCGACCATATACCCCGCCTTCTCATTCTGCACGTCAACGACGCTGCCTGCCTACCAGCTCATGGGGTCCTTCTCCAGCTCGAACGAGACGCTTGCAAAGGGCCCCAAGGGGGAGGTCTGCTGTCCGAACGTTTTAGATTCGGTCGAGTACTACTGTTGCGATAGTTGGAATACGGAGTCGTGTGGCACTTCCAGCCACACGCCCGCCAGGCTGAGAGGCCCAAGCCTCCCAGACCCACGTGACAGGCCAAGGGGGAATATCCCCACCTTCTAGTCAACAACACCACTTTCAACTATCATAAACCATCGATTAGAACTAATTTACTATTATTTATTATTTAATAAACGGAATTCCGTTTCACCCCCTATGAAACCTATACTGATTAGTAGTAAACCTTATAGTTGCTATTAATTTAGTTAACTTTATAATTACTACTCTGCTATGGACAAACCGTAGATCAGCAAGGTTAACACTAGAAGAGACGACTTCTTAAACTAGATACCTAAGCCTAGGTAAAAGTAAGGATTTCGTACTAACGAGAGAAGAAGCGAGAATAACTAGGATCTACGGAAACTAGTAGAAGAAAGCTTCTTTTCCTCGAATCTACTAGCAATCCGATTATTTAAATAACCTAAAGACTATTACGCTTACCTTAGGTAGGATAAGGTTAATCGTAGCTAATTATCGCTAGCAAAAGCGTTCTATTACGCGTTTTTAATTACTAGAAGAAAAGACTTACCGAATCGATAGTCTTCTAACCTCTTTACGCTATAAAGGCGAAGATTTATAAATTGTCGTGATGCCTTCGAGGCGAAGTGCGCAGCCTCACCATCACGTGACCCACATATCGCCTGTGGGGATAATCCCGAAATGGAATGACCGGAATATCTTTATTCCGCTTCGCCCACAAAACATATTTAGGCACAATATCGTTCCATAGTGTAGTTAGGAGAAAACAAGCCACTCAATCTACTACTTTGAATACATGCCTACGTTCAGCACTTTGCTTCACCACATAAATCTTATAAAGGATAATAACTTCCTTAACTATAACTATCCCCTACGCGCGGTGCTAATCACAAAGCGCCTGCTAGTTTCTTAATAAATCCCTAGACAAGGTACTAACCGCGAGGCGCTTGCTATAAGAAACCTCCCTACTAGAAGAAAAATACGCCGAAAGGTAAGCAAAGACTACTAACAGTAATCTGCCTATATAGCTATACGTATACGCCTCCGAGGCTACGGCTTAGGAGAAACGCACGTAGTTATAAGCGTTATAAGGCTAACTATCTACTAGATTCTAAACTTCCTAATAGTAAGGAGTAAAGCCTAAAGCGAGAAAGAAAGATTTACGAGAGAATCTATAATAAAACTCTCTCCTTACTAATTCGAGACCTATATATACCCTTATACCCCTCGAGAATATTAGTAAGAACAGCGCCGACGGAAATAAACGACGAACCGACGAAAATCCCCGATTTTACGATTCTTTCCCCTTAGAATCGTAATATCCCGAATCGTCTTTTAACTCCTACTTCTAAGCCTATATCTTATACTAATCGTAGCTAACGCTATTAAGGATTAGAATTTAAGATTCTAAATAGAAGTAATCCTTTTATACTATTAGAATAAAGCGAAATTTACGAGAAGGATCGCTTATAAGTAGCGTTACTACTAAAAGCTAATTAATAATCCCTATCTTATAAAGAATCGAAAGTATAATCGATCTAGTAGTATAAGGCAACTAGGCAATCGACCTTATAAACGCTAGCCTATAGTAACTAGGTTCCTATATAGGTTTCCTACTTAAGACCTATAAGAAGAGGAATCTTACGGGCCTCGAGCTATGGAACGAAGTTTCTCCCGATTTCGCCGACTGGTTAGAAGAAGACTTTTAGAACGTACCTCCCCTAATCCTACGATTCTTTAAAGACTATTTAATCGGTAACGGCGTCTACGTCGAAATAGATAGTAAGAAAATCTTAAAAAATATAGTATTAGCTTTTAAAAAGGAAGAATTCTACTACTAGTTACCCTAAGAACTCGAACAAGGCGTTAAGAGATATCGCAACCTAAAGGCTTTGATAAAAGACCCCGAATTCTACGAAGAGATCACGAGACCGGCAATAGTAGCTAATAGCATAGGAGGAAGAGTCGAACTAACCCTATAGCTACCTCCTCTATAAGAATAATAATAGTAGTAACTACCGTACCGACCGCTATATCCTACGGTCTCTCCGTTAACAGACTTCTAACTATACGAGTTAACAGACTGTATCGGAAAGTAATTAATAGAATTCGCGAAACTATACCCCGACGATATAAAATATAGCGGCGATATATACGATATACTTGAAAAGAAGATGCTAGTATTCGTAGATCACTATAGAATGCTAGGAATTTATACCTCCTAATATAACAAGGCACTTCCCCTAATACTAAAAGGAATAGCTAAAACCTACTTCTACGCCTCGATTAAAGTAATTAACCTATAGCCTAACTTCGAGACTATAATTAACTAATTAAAATCATACTTCGAGACTAGGGAAAGGCAATAAGCGTACGTTACGTAGTAGAATATAACTACTCTTCCCTAAATCATTCGTAATAACCTTAGAAAGACTAAATCGGAGTATTTTGATATACTATATAATAAATTAAGCAAGATTCAGCCTGGTTTGCTATAATAGGATTATAACGACCGATCCCTCTATACCTAACTTCTATACGCTTATAGAGATATTCTAGAGTATGTAATAGCGTTATTTATACCGGCTAAGACGTACGAGGGACTTCGTAGCTAATTAATCTCGTCGATCGAGATAGCTACCCGTCTTAACTAATAATAATTTAATATAGTAGCTAACCTACTAGAGTAGTACTAGACCGATAGAACTTTTAATAGTCGAGGGCGTTATTTACGATATAGTCGTTTATTACGAAGTCGATTATTACGAGGAAGAAGCCGTAACAAACCCTTATTACTGCTAACGCTTAAGAAGTACTACGTATATAGAAAACCTAACTACTAGTTAACTAAACATACTATAGAAGAGAGACGAAAAGCATATAAGAAGTTTAAAACTACCTAATATGCCTAGGATACGTTACTTCTAGCATATAGCTAATTTCTTATCTAATACGAGGGTTTCGACGGGTTAGACTTATAACCTACCGCCGAAGACCCCTAGCAATACTACTACGTAACCAAACAAACTAGTAAAAGTAACGAAGAGGAAGAGACCGGCAGCGATAGTCAATTCTAGGTTACCGCCTATTTTACTATAATAGCAATTAATAGCAATAGGATCGCTACGATCCTAGCAGACTAGTCAACCCGCTATGCTATTACGAAAGAAGACTTCTTCCGTAACTAACTAGAACCGAAAGAGCTACCTTCGCAATTTATACTCGAGGGACGCTACTCTGCCTAGAACTTCTAAGGGATTATGCCCGACTCGGGCGTAGCAGGATTCTTAACCGCTAGCTACCTATAATTCGTAGCCTTATAACAAATTTACGAAGGAATTACGTTAAATACTAAGGCGGCTAGTAGCGTTATAGTGAAATTCGGCGATAGGATACTACTAGAGTCTATAAGGACTACTAAAGTGCTAACGCCGTTTAGAAGCGTTAAATTTTACGTTATTAAGACTAATACTCCCTTCCTTATATGCCTAGGAGATATAGACTGATTAAAGGTCTACTTTAATAACGTTACGAATACCCTTATCTAAGGAAATAAGGTTATACCTATTATTTACAAATAAGGCTACCTATAGTTATTACTTAATAAGGAGAAACTACTTGCTTAGAACTACCTTATAGACGCTAAATTGCGACAGGTTTACCGTCGCTTCGGATACCTATCTATTTAACGATTATATAAGGTGCTTTAGAAGGCTAGCTACCTAGTTGAAATTACGGCAATTAAGCAACTATCGAAAGTCTGCTATCGATACTAAATATACGTACTAACGCTATTACGGTTTAAATTTACGTTACGAGACGATTACGAATTTAACTATAAGGTTATCGCCGACGTAATATACCTTAAGGGTAATAGACTAGTCCTCTACGTCGTCGATACCGCTACGGCGTTTAACGCTGCCTAGTTCCTTAAGGATATTTCTACGAAAGCTACTTAGGAAGCCTTACGCCTCTGCTAGATAGATATATATTAGGGACCCCTAGACTAGCTAGTTACCGACGCTAGAATAAACTTCTGCTTAATAGAATTCCGAAACGCGGCGAGAGGAATAGTAATTAAAATTAAGGAAATTCCTATAGAAGCTTATAATAGTATTAGGAAAGTTAAACGATACTATATACCTCTAAGGAAGGCGTACGAAATTATCAAAGTAGAAGACTTAATAATTACGCTAGAATTAATACTTTAAATAGTAGTTAAAGTAGTTAACGATACTGCTAGCCTAAACGGAATAGTGCTAATACTCTTAGTATTCGGCTTATACTTATAAATTACCGACGATTCGCTGCTATCTCCCGAAGTTATAAGGCAGGCGAAAGCGATTAAGAAGGCGATAAGCGAAGTATACGAACTTTACGCAAGGCGATAGGTAGTAGAAGCTATCGCTACCCGTAATAGCCTTAATATAAGGCTAATTATTAATTTACTACTACGGTCGTAAGTATAAGTATAGCGCGAAAAGAAAGGCTAGACTAGACTGTTTACTTTAGTAGCTATAAACAGCGAAACCTATACTATCGATATGCTATATAGTCCGAAGACCTTCCGGTCTACTATAGTCAAACTATACTACGAAGATCCTGATTAACTACCTAATTCTATTACTACGCTAGAAGAAGAAGAACCTAAAGCTAAGATACCGTAGTAGGAAGTAGTACGCGACGAAATTATCGTCGCTAGCGGAGGTAGTAAACCGGACGAACCGCAAGAGGCACTAGAGCTAAG